GGTGCAGAAACTGACATATCGCAGCTTGTTTACGAGTTCCTGTATACTGGTATCGGGCAGATGATCGCAGCCTACTCTCCCAACGCCGTATTCGCCTCGCTCGTCAACCCTCTCTTCGTCACGACACTGGTGTCTTTCTGCGGAGTTCTGGTTCCCTACAGTCAACTCGAGCCGTTCTGGAGGTACTGGCTTTACTATCTGGACCCGTTCAACTATCTGATGTCCTCTCTCTTGGTGTTCACCACCTGGTCTGCGAATGTAGACTGCAAATCGAGCGAGCTCGCCATCTTCGACCCTGCTGCCAACCAGACCTGCGGCGAGTACCTCTCAGTCTACCAGCAGGGTATGGGATCCGGTATTAACCTGCTCAATCCCGATGCCACCGTCGACTGCCGCGTGTGCCAGTACAAGAGCGGAGCGGACTTTCTCCGGACCCTGAACCTTGCGGAGGAGTATTATGGTTGGAGGAACGCTGGCATCGTCGTGTTGTTCTCGGTGAGCAGTTACACACTGGTGTACTTGATGATGAAGTTGAGGACCAAGGCTACAAAGAAGGCGGCGTAGAGGGGCGTCGTGTTGTGAGATGGGATGAGATGCGAGACGGACGCATCGGTAATGTTGCGGCGAAGACGACGGTCAGCGGAGTTTCTGTGGGGGCGCTGTGCATAGGTGGCGTAATTTAGATTTCCTATTTAGATTTCCTATATCGTGTATCAATACCACTGTCTCTTGACGGAACGCGTGGAGAATTTGGCCTGTGAACCTATCGTGCCTGTGAGGCTCTAGCAGTCGCCAAGCGCTTGGCTAGCTCCGATGACTAATCTAGCGTCTCACACATCCGCCGACGTGACCGTCCAAGCGTCTTGCGTGCCGGCGCTGCTACATCTTCAAGAGCACTCTGGCCCACAGCACAGCTCGCAGTCTACCTATCTTCGGGAACTCCGATACACGACCTACTGGAATCTCGGGGTCTCCAATGGACGCCCGAAGAGACGCGATGGATGGAGTAATCTGCCTGATAGCGCCGCGGCGTGGGATTGGCGTCTCCAACGGCGACCCGCTGCACCGACGTCATGGTCCAGGAACGCGGCCCAGGTCGCGTGCGCGACGACGACGATGATGCTAAACTCTGTCCTCCTAATTTCACGCTTGAAGACTACTCGAAGCTTTACATCATTCTGACCACCGCTACCACACGATCGACTCGGACTTTCCTCCGCTACCGACTGCTAGACGTCTCTTCCCATCATGGGTGTGGCTGCAGGCGAACTCATCGTACCTTTCACCGGCGCCATTCAAGCTGCCTTCTCGGTGCTCCTGACCATTGCTTTTGGTGTTGTCGCAGCACAATGCAACTTACTTTCGCCCAACGCGGCGAAGGAGGTGTCGAAGCTATGCGTGCGCATGTTTCTGCCGGCTTTGTTGATCTACAAAATTGGCTCCAATCTGCATCAGGACACCGGAGTGCGATATGTGCCTGTTCTGAGTAAGTATACTTTGTTGGGCCTTCGTCAACTATATGCTTACCACAATTGCTAGTATGGTCGATATCCTATACACTACTTTCCGTCCTCGTCGGCCGCGTCCTTACGCGACTCTTTAAACTGCCAGCTTGGGTGGCACCAGCAATCGCCTTCAATAACACGACCTCTCTTCCCCTCCTCCTTATACAGTCTCTCAAGCAAACCCAAGTTCTTGATGCCATACTCATTGGCGGCGAGTCTGGCAGTGAGGCCATGGATCGAGCCGAATCATACTTCCTGGTGAATGCAATGGTTAGCAACTCGCTTACCTTTGCTCTTGGGCCGCGCTTGCTGAGGCCAGGAGATGAGGACGCATCCAATGAACTACATGGAGAGGACGATGATTCGGAGAACGGCGAAGCGAACGGAGATGGCGAGAGCAGTGATATGGAGCGAGGTCCTGATGGGATCGTCGATGAGGAGACTTCGCTGCTCCCACAACAGTTGACCAAGCCCGCAAATCGTGTGGAGGTAAAGGGATATTTGAAGACAAGAGCATGGTTCAACAACTTGTCTCCGTGGCTACAAGAGACACTGGAAATCACATGGCATTTTGCCAACGCTCCCTTGATCGGCGCTATCGTCGGAGCAGTAATCGGATTGACGCCCGCGCTTCATCGAATCTTTTTCAGTCCTAGCAACGAGGGTGGTTATCTCAACGCGTCGATCACGGCGGCGATAAAGAATATCGGTGATCTGTTTGCTTCGTTGCAGATCATTGTTGTTGGGGTAAAGCTCAGCAAGAGCCTGTTGCGCATGAAGCGCGGAGAGCACAGTGGGGAGGTGCACAAGGGTAGTCTGGCGACCGTGACCTTGATTAGATTCATCATCTGGCCCTTGTAAGATTCTTTACCCGCTACATGGAGGAAGCTTCGACTAATCGACAACAGAATAAGCATACCTTTGATCTACGCAATCGCCTCGAAGACGAAGCTTCTAGATGCAGACCCTATGCTTTGGTTCTCGATGATGCTCATGCCGACCGGTCCGCCTGCTATGATATTGGTAGCGCTAGCCGATGTTACAGGTGCAGCGGAGTCGATGAAGATGACCGTTGCAAAATTCTTAACAGTAAGAAACCATCAGATACTGTCAGCTGGTAGCATCCACTAACCCACCGGCAGATCAGTTACGCAGTCACTCCCATGATATGCTTTGCTGTAGTTGGAGCTTTGAAAGCTACCGAAGCTGCGATTAATCAATGAGCACGCGTGTTGCGTCTTTTCTCTTCAAACTCTTCTATCACCTAGCTCTAAATTGCAAGATGTTCGATACATGCATCGTTGAATCCGCTTGCTGTCGTTGGCATGATCGAGGTTCTCCAAGCTTCGCGTGATGCAAACTCTCGACTTCCAAAATGTCACCCATTGACACCTATCCAATCAGTCTTTTTAGGAGTTTGCCTGGCTATGCCGAAGACGTAGGCTACCGATACTCAATATAGGCCGCATGTTTCCGGTATTCAGACAAGTGTCGCAAGTAGTCAGAGCGAACAACTCTTCCGTCGTCCGTATATCATGTCAGAAACAAATACGCGAATGCAGATATATAAGTCATGATGGCAAGGTCCCTCCCACATCTCAACCTTCAAGTTGCTACATTTCAGGCGGCTGGGTCGATCTCGGTCCGAAACCTACATTGCGCTATATGTGAACTGTGCAAGCAACATCAAATTCAACATCGTTGGATGCTTTGCTTAGACGTAAAGTTGCGTACTTCGCGCAGATACTCCATCATGGTCCGAAAGACATGTATTCCATCAAGTCTTTGATGCTGGGTTCAATGCCACTACTTTGGTGTGGCGAATGTCGCACCTGCCTATCAAGGCTAAAGGCCGTTGCGGGGCACGATAGCTGCGCTTGATTAGGTACTTAATCTCTCCAGCATCATCTCTTTAATTCTGAGACGACTGTTGTATACAATATTGCCTTGTTCCTGAGTGCTTGCATCATGAAGACATTATCCATCCTGTTCTCGATCGCTTCGTTCACATTCGCGCATCCAAAGCCTACAAAGCCTCTCTCATGGACGCTTACACCCACAAACAGTACACAACAATTCCGTGGCCTTTCGCCTGTTGACGAAAAGGTACTGTGGGTGTCCGGTACGTCTGGCACCATCCTACGTACCACCAACTCCGGGAGAACGTGGGTCGACGTGTCCCCGCAATTTGCGTTCGAGAATGCTTCAGACTTCCAATTCCGCGATATCCAGGCTTTCTCCAAGAAAAATGCCGTTGCTTTATCGATCGGTGAGGGAAACTTGTCACGCATCTACAAAACGGATAATGGGTGAGTTGCTATGTACAAATTACATGCAATACGTATACTGACTTCGCGCGCCAATGTCCAGCGGAAAGAGCTGGAGACCCACGTTCATCAATGAGGAAAAGACAGCATTCTATGATTGCATGGCGTTCGAGACAAAAAGAGGTAGAGAAGGCCACGGCGTTGCAATGAGTGATCCTGTCGACGGCAAATTCCGTCTGCTAGAAACGTGGGATGGTGGTGCGCACTGGTCTATTGTCTCGAACAACACGATGCCGCCAGCGCTGGACGGCGAATTCGGCTTCGCAGCAAGCGGGACATGCATTGAAGCTGCGGCGGGCCGATGGTACATCGCAAGTGGCGGCGTGGATCCAGGAAGAATCTTCTACACAAGTTCCGATAGCGTCAGTCATGGCTGGCAGGTCGCGAACTCGTCCATCTCTGGTGGTGCTGCTGCCGGTGTGTTCTCAGTACGTTTTCGCGATGCGCGTCACGGTATCGCAGTCGGTGGAGACTATGAGAAACCCACAGCCAGCAACAACACGGCGTCTTGGTCGAACGATGGCGGCGTGAGCTGGCGAAAGGCTGACTCGTTTCCGCGCGGATATAGATCGGGTGTCAGTTGGGTGCCAGGGAGGAGACAAACAGCCGTTGCAGTTGGAACTAGTGGGTCAGATGTCACTATCGACGGAGGGAGTAATTGGGTTCCTATCGGTAATGGAACGTTCGATGCTGTCGAGTGCGTTGAGAGAGACGTTTGCTGGGCCAGTGGGTCTGGCGGACGGGTTGCAAAACTGGATCTACGAGGGCTATGAGTAATGATACCAATTTGAGGCACCTTTATCAGTTCAACCAAATCTGTGGGTATTAAAACAAAGGTGTGCAATATTGTAAGGCAGTGTAGGCTTATTGGTATTTCTTTTGATAACTTGTCCACTTCTATCCCTGAGTGAGGTGAGATCTCGGCGAAGTACACCTAAAGACGTCCATGTCAATGGCTTCATATTACTTTGGAGACGCAACGGTTGCCTCGAATTCAACCTTCGCTGGCGTTGCACGGCAATATCCTCATCAAAGCCACCCTGCACTTGCGTATATACAGCCGTAATGAAAAGTTGTGTTACTTAGTGCTAGCCAAGGGGCGTACGCGACTTTTGGGCAACGTATGCTTCGTCGCGTGACTAAGATATAGTGGTGTTGAGTCGCTCAATTATTGTCGTAGTCTGCAAGGTGGAATCACTCTTAATTCGATGCCCTCGTCTTTAATCGTCGTGGGAACGCTCAGGTAGGATTCGCGTGATCGAAACGGTGAAGCTGTCAGGGGTGGTGTAGGCGTGGCGTCTCTGTTTCCCTTTTCCACGTCTGCGGAACCGTGCAACGATGAGGTAACGTCGTCATCATCGTTGTTGCGGAACACCACGTAGAAAATGATGGTTGTGAGGGCCATGGCTCCGGCCAGACTACCGTAGAATCGAGTAAGGTATGGATCGCGCGCCCCTTCCGCGATGACTAGCGCGATAGCAGAGCCTATCCCCGTAATGAGCATGTTGATGGCCTGTACGAACACTTTCATCTCCTTGGGTGCGTGCTTCTCTGCGTATTCCATGGCTGTCGTCATGGCGAAAACCTCGCCCGTCGCTATGAGAAAATAAAGCGGCGCTTGTACCCAAACATTAGGCCGATCTTGTGCGACAGATTGGCGGTCTCCGCAGTCTGTTGGGTGGTCGAAGCAGGGCGGGGATGCATAAATGTAATGCTGCACTAGAGTTGCGTGCAGCATCGAGAGTACGACGAAGCAAAAGCCAATGGCAATGCGAGTGACTGGCTTCAGATATATGCGCCGCTTGGCTAGCATGGGGTTGAGGACGTACTCCACAAACGGACTGACTATAATGCATGCCACTTGGTTCATGCCGGGAAGGACATCGTTGGGTGTACTACCAGTATCCATATCGCTCGCTTGAGAGATCAAGTTGTTCTGCATTTGGTCGAAGCAGATGTAGAAGACGATGAATGCCAGGCTAGTCTACATGTTAGTATGCTTGAGAAACAAGAGTGGTAGCACTTACAGCACGCGACAAGCGCCTAACGCACGTGTCAGTTCGTCGACGAACTGGCTACTCCATGGAACTTCCTTGGATTTCTCCAGGCGCTGATACGCTGGGTCTGCGCGATCCATCCGGCACCCGTTGCGGACGGCGCAGCTGAGAACTTTCGCAGCAGGTACAATGACATCTGCCTCCTGAGGTGGGTTGACTGTAATGTTTTAGCATAAGGCGTACCAAATGAGTGAGTCATGCGTACCGAAACACTTCCTTCCGAAGACCAGCATCCCAAGGGCGATGATGATACAGCCAAGACCCAACGCATACGAAGGAGCGAAGTCATGATGCCTCTCAATGTAGACACACGGAAATGCCGACAAAGCTCCTACGTTACCAATCCAGAAGTATAGATTGTAAATGAACTTTAGAGTGATTTCGCTGTCAACGACGACCCGTTCGCCTTTCGACGACGCTGGTAAGTACTTCGAAAGACACGTTCGCGCCACGCGTCTCCTCAGCCATTGAAGCAAACGGTTCTGCGTTCCGCAAAGCGTCATTTCTCGTGGAGCTCTATCTGTGTACTGGTTGGCGATGAAAGACCTCATGATGGCCTGGGTCTAAGAAACTCAGTACGCGTAAGAATAGTTGTTGACTGCTTTACTCACACCACCCCCACCAAGGGCTATCAGGACCATTGCAATGATCAGACCAGGCAGACCCGCGCCTCGACCGAGCATGGAGGGTAGCGAGCTGACGACCAGTGCAAGACATCCCACGGCATATACCGTCAAGCTGATCAGCAAAGTTTTGTATTGGCCCAGATGATTATCTGCCAACGGCGCTATGAAGACAGGACTTGTGAAGTAGACTATGAAGAATCCGCAGTAAATGCGTGTTGCCGTCGTCTGGCCAAGGTTAAGCGCACCAGGGGTGTGCTCCATATCGTGATGCCGGGGATGTTCCATGTAGTTTTCTACAACAAGCTAGTCAGAACAGTTGATGGAGACGAGGTATTGGCAACGACATACGCCAAGGGGCTGTGACTGTCCGCAATAGAGTCAGTGCTAGTTCAGGCATGATGTTGCGGTGTGATCAAAACACTCACGTCCCCAGAAAGTTGCCCTCTCCCAGAACCCGATGACAGCAACGATCCAAAGCTGCCATGGTATACTACCTCTGACACGCCGCAGTCGAGAAACATTATGCTCGGACTTTGTGTCATTCGTACTGGACGCCTGTGATACTGGGCTGTTTGGTGCACTGCCTTCAGGGTCAGTGCTGGTGGTTGTCATGGTGTTGATCGAGGACTTGCCCGTTCATGGTTGCGGTTCGCTCCACTGCCAGAGCACTGCGTTCGCCCGCCGTTGGTTCGAGAAGAGAATGGGAAGAGATGGTGAATTCGCCTGCGAATTGACCAAGCCGGGCTATAAGTGAAGAGCGCGTTACGTGCTAGTAAAGCGATCCTCGGAGAGCGAGGAAATGAAAGTTCGGTGGTAGCGACAAGCGCGAGAGCCCAATAACGAGTGAGTTGCTGTCGACCTGCAGTTACCTTACTCAATACCTACCAATGTTGCGGTGAAAACGTGCTCCATCTGTCGGTTCCTGCTGGTGCGGCTGCCCGTGCGGGAAGGAGGTATGCAGACGTAATCGCGTCTTGAATGCTCAGTAGTGTTTGATCAGCGTTTTGGTGTGCTACCCTTCTGGGTTTGCACACCAAAAAGCCATTAGTGGGGTTGCCACACTTCAAAGAGAAATGAGTGTTCGATTCATGGGGCGCGGTTACTGTCATCCAACAGCACGCATTGATACAACATCCACAAGTGTTGGTTGAGCAGCTGTTCTACGAAGTGGTGACGCCTGCGTTGCACTCGTATCGCTACCGCGTGCCAAGTTTCAGTAAGAGCTCTTTTGGGTGAGGTGACGTTACGAAGGACCGGATTGTGGATTCAGTGCCAGAGAACGAGGACCCGGGTACCAGGTGCAGAGACAGGTACCCGAGTCGTGAAGCCATGGCTGCGTTTGCCGCGCGCGCGAGGCCAGGGCTCTTCTCCAAAACTCCGGAACAGAATCTGGAGTCCCCACATGCTACTTCAGAAATTGGAGATGTGTTCTGATCCCATCCACAGATGGGTGTAGCCATAGGTGCCGGTTTCCCGTTTTCTCACCTACACACGTTCACGTTTACGGTGTTTCTACAGGTGCTTGCTCTTGGTGAGGAAGGAATCCACAGAGGCTCAAAGAGTAGCTTCTCTTTCGCATGCAAGCGTCCGGTCTCTCGTCATGAGCCGGGCAGGTGCAGATGGTCCAACACCGCACAGTGCCACCCGTCGGATTTATGAGCCTATGCCGTCTCGTGCTGTCATATTGTGCGATTTATCCTTCGACTTTAGGTTTTGATGGAGACACTGGAACTGAAAAAGTGATGTATACGATTGTACGATGGGGCGCCTTCGAAGGCTTACGGGAAGATGCACGCCCAAGCTTCCGCGCCGGTGATTACGTCAGCTGGCTCTTGCGCGGGGCCAGGATACTTCCCAACCACCAACTGGGATCCCGTAGCTTTGGCCCTCGTCACGTTCCGAAAGGTACTTTTTCAGCATACGCGTACCTGCATGTCTTGTTTGCAGCTTTTCACCGCTTCGTCCGGCAGCGCTGGGGTGTCATTCTCCGCTCTTTCAACGAGACGTGAAAGTCGATCAGATTAAGCTCGAAGATGATACGACCTTCTTTATGGCTGAATCATGGCAATTGGGGCAAGTCGCACAATGGATACTTACGGCGCTACTCCGATGTAGTCTCCGTCTTTGGCTCTGCTGCAGCCTCACTTTGGAATGAGCGTGTGATTGCCACGTCGCTTAAGGATTCCTCTTGCTCTATTGCAGAAAGGACTTTTTCCTTTTTTCCTGAGGCTTCGGTGGCGGTGAGTCGCTCAACCAGTAAGGTAATGACGCGGGCATCATTTGTCGGTGTCGCCAGATCGCAACCGACGTGTGACCAAGACCGACGGCTCAAAGGCGACCATCGTGGACTGGAATTTCGTTTTGGCGCCTCGACTCACGGGAAGCCTGACAACCAACAGTCAAACACAGAACTGATTGGTGTGACTACCACTAAATAACGTCCCGAACAGCGACACGGCCTAGCCCCAACTCCCAACCGTGGGGTTGCAGATGATCGTCGTAAAATCGCGGGGCTGGACTGTGCCGCTGGGAAATGTAAGACGCGTCCTGCAGGTGGCACCAGGCACGAGTAGTGCGAAATCGGAATTTGCTCCGAAGTATTTACCGGCTCCCCCGTACTCGTTCATCCATTTTTCACATTACACGTCTCCTCAACATTGTTCTCCACTGTCGTTTACCTCGCCTATAATGTACCACCTAGACGGCAATCCGGCTCCTTCCGACCAAACATTGTTTCAAGATCTACTCAAGATCACCACATCGAAATGGCAGTCAATGCTCAAGAGAGATGCGACACCGGCACGACAGGAGCCTGCTTCGCGACCTTCCGTGTCCAGAACCTCGACTCAACTCTCGGTGCCGATATCGAAAGAGTAGAGACTCTCCATTATGTCCACGGACGAAACAGGTCGCAAAGCCTCCGTAAATCTTTTGTTCACGCAGCGTCGCGTCACTCTCTATTCGGAACGCTACACTCGCAATTGGAGTAATCAGGAACCGAGCGACACCTTGTCTGTTACTGACACCTGCGATCGTCATACTGGGTGGGTCAAGAACTGAACAACACCGGCGACCCTGATGATGCATGTACCAACATGATGGCTCAATGGAGTAGTGATATCGAATCTGTCAGGTGTACAACACGGCAAGTCTGGATGAAGTGGCAGCGTTCACGCACTATAACGGTTCAATCGTTCGTAAAGGTAAGTTCCCCTAATACACTTGCGCAAGCTACTTTGCTAACCTCGTCAAAGGCAGTCTTCTGTTTCACGTCAAAACGTACGTTTGCTCCACAGTGTGCCTCATCGCTTCCCGGCGCGCAACCCGCTACTCGCAGCGCTCCATCATCACATCCACCTCGCAGACTTGCAAACCGCTGGCTGCGCATACACTCAGGTCTTTCGTGGGAGACGGAATAGAACCGGCGGACAGCATTGAGGGATAAACTGTGGTGTTACGATACGCTGTGCAAGTGCTCCTCTTCTGCTCAGGCCCAACCATGTGTTCACTCCGAAGCGGTCGGTGACATATCTGCTAGCAGAACCAGGGAAAAGCCATGGAGCTTTGCTTGGTTGTCTGAGCGCGGTTGCCCAGTACTTGATCGACCAGACGGACGCACCAATCCAATGTCCTCTTGCATTGCTTGATGGATCCTGCCTTCTCAGCGACAACGTACCAGTAGGCGCCAGTAGTTTAAAGAGGTCTGCCCTCCAAATGGTCACAATACAAAACTTCATCTCATTGTTATATCGTCAGACTTACAGAACCCGTCATGAGCGTGGCCAACTCCGACCAACCATAGCCTGTGTGTCCGCATCCCTGTCAGGTCTTGCGCGAACGACATATTGCATATGACTTGACATACTATGGGGCATCTAATCTTAGTCCGATTAGGCACGGAGCACCCAGGCCGATCAGCATATAAAGGTGTCTTAGCCACCCATAATCTAATGTATAGTGTACGATTACAAAGACTCGCCCAAAGATCGGTACGGCAATCTACGACCACAGCACATGGCTCGCATTATCGAGATTCGTATTATCAGTCATTTCGACCAGCTTAGGCCACGCGCTCCAATTTGTTTAGCTAATATAATCCATGATAAATCATGATGACCATCAGTATCTTGGATGGTACTTCACTGCACTCCAATCCACTCCAGCAAGTCTCAAACCCCTACCATAATACACTTCTCCAATATGAAGAATCTTATCCTCTTCGCGCTGGCAAGTGTTGTCTCAGCCCATACCATTTTTCAGAAAGTCTCTGTCAACGGCGTGGAGCAGGGTCAACTGAAGGGCGTCCGCGCCCCCGATTCTGACTACCCTATCACAAATGTCAACGACGCGGCTTTTGCTTGCAACAAAGACATCAAGCATACAGATAGCACTGTGATAAGCATTCCGGCTGGAGCAAAGGTCGGCGCATGGTGGGAACTCCGATGTACGAACTGTATGGAAGACGAACACTGACTTCGCTGAACAGGTGGGGACACGTCATAGGTGGAAAGCAGGGTGCTAACGATCCCGATCATCCTATTGCTGCGAGCCACAAAGGTAGGTGGCGCTTCATGATAGCTCTCTCGGTCATGTAGAAGCAGATAGCTAATGTATCCACCGCAGGGCCGATACAATACTACCTTGCCAAGGTAGACAATGCCGCAACTACTGGCACCACAGGCCTTCAATGGTTCAAGGTTGCCCAAGACGGTCTGAGTAACGGAAAATGGGCTGTGGACACGATGATTGCCAACGGAGGTTGGCACTACTTCAACATGCCTACTTGTGTTGCTCCGGGCGACTATCTGCTGCGTGTCGAGCTCATCGCCCTCCACAGCGCTTCGGCGCAAGGTAATGAGCCCAGGCCATCGCACTATCAACCTGCTGATGTTCAACAGGCGGCGCCCAATTCTACATGGAATGCGCACAGATCCGCGTCTCGGGTAGTGGCACAAACAAGGGCTCCAACTTCGTCTCTTTCCCTGGTGCTTACAAAGCCAACGACCCCGGTATCCAACTCAGTATCTATGACACCACTGGGAAGCCCTACATGGGTGGCAAGGCCTATTCCATTCCAGGGCCTGCGCCGCTGACCTGTGCGGCTGGGCAAGATGGCGGCAGTGGCTCCACACCAGCGCCTCAACAGCCAGCTCCAGCACCAGAAGCGCCGGCTGCGGGAGCCGCACTATACGCGCAGTGCGGAGGCGCCACGTGGACTGGTCCAACGACGTGTGCACAGGGAATGTGTAAAGTAAGCAGCGAGCATTACTCACAATGCGTGCCGTAACATGTCCGCCGAGATGTTGTAGTGTATGTAGTCGACTGCGACCGGACAATCAAGGCTTTCGGAATACTACTCATGTCTTGATCATTTCTACCCGTCAAATTTCGCGAATACGGCATCTTCGCACATGCCTTTCGAAATTATCTCTACGCGTGAACTTCTTTTCGGGGATTGAACACGTAGGGTTGGGACAATAGAACTTTTGCGTTGCGTAAATGTCCTTGTGAACGCCGCGCTCATGTCTCTTGAGATCAGCTTTGAGTGCGAAAGCTGATTCGCAATGCCTGCATTGATACCGCCGTCGGTGCTTGCGGTTCAAGTGTACACTAAGAGTGTGTTAGCTCTAGATATTTTCAATATTTGCGAATGAAACGCCAGGCTGGCGACTTACTTCAACTGCCCCTGCGAATGGTATGTCGTCTGACATGTGTCACATCGGTAAAGGCTCGAAGACCCATCGGAGTTTTGCGCTTGATCGCTCAATTGGTTGGACGATGGACGCTCTCTGGGAGCTGTTTCTGAAGGCTCGTAAGATTGCTCACTGTCAGGTGGAGAGCTTGTGTATTCTGTGGGGGAGTCAAGGAAGGGGTTGTCAGCTTGAGCATATGAGGAGGGCCCCGCTGGTGAGACTAAAAGTGGTGATGAAGTATTGCTCATGGCCATGACCTGCAGTCTCTCCGAGCTTTCGCTATTGATGTCGTTTTGGAATGGTCGTTTCTTTTGGAGCCATGGAAAAATGACTGGATTCGGGGTATGCTCTGCGTCCCATGGGCTGATGTATTGCTCGTCCACCGAAGAAGTGGCGGCTTGTCTAGCCCAGCCAAAGTGTGCAGGCGCTACGGTGAGTAGTTGTGATGATCCTTCTATAGCGACATGTCAGTGGAAGCTCCAAGACAAAGCAGGGAGTTGACCAACCACTCTGAGGGACGATGCGTTCCAGGTAGGATCGCTTGTCGATGCCCAGAATCTGATCGGCCGTGATGGCTCTCGGCGGTTTCTTGGTTGCATACTTCTCCTGTCTCGCCCATATCGAATCCTTGGGCGGTGCTTTGGCATAAGGAGGTGGATCAATTCCGGGGCGCTTCCTTTCGCGCTCTAGATCCCTCAGTTTCCTAAAGGGATCGAGTTTCCGCCTTCTGATTCGATCCGCAAGCCATACCCATACTATAGGCGCTGCGAGTACAAATGTGACGGCCAGACATATACCAATAAACATCGAGGCAGCAGCTCTTTCTTCTGCTGGACTCTTGGACAGTGGTGACTCATTGTCTGTTGATCGTGGCTCCAGTTTCCAGTCCAGTCGTGCATCCAACGTGAATGTTGCCTTAGGAGGCGTCGGATAGGGAGCCATGGTGGCCGGTAAAGGCAGGACAGCGATGCACTCGCCGTGTGAAGCATTAATCTCATCGCTCTCTCTATATCAAAGTCACGGCCTGCCTGTGGCTGAAGCGATGGCGATCCGAGGCTGAAGCCGGGAGGCATACATTTTCTGTAGGACTGCCGTGATTGGAGAACTCATCATACCGGTTAGAGGGCATTTCCAGATACGAGGACCTTCTAGAGCCCGTCGATATGGTGTTATGCCGCTCAAGGTATGGTGCTTGCCCCATTAGTCTTTTTGGCCCCCGGTTAATGTTGGACCCATGCCGTTGGTGCACGCTTGCGCATGTCGTGAACCCATCTTTGGGGTTGAATCGATCCTTCAGCCCTATGGTAGGAGGATAAAAGCTAGCCAAGAAGCCCTCCGTTGGACTGTCAGGTGCGTCTCGCGGCTCTGTCGTCATGTGTTGGATCGTGTTTGTCGTGTTGGTCGTGTTTTTCAATGCACGAACGTACCTAGGTAGGAAAACCGGGATTGATCCCGTCGGAAAGCTAGGAGCACCTGCCTGATCTTGGCGGCGTTCGATGCTACAACAAATGCATCAACACAACACCATCAGTATAGCTAGCCACGGGTATACGAGGTTAGATAGTAGGCCGAGTTCCCCAGCGATACACGTCCGACTCTTCATGATGTAGCAAGAGCTCTCGCCGCGCTGTCCTCTGTTGAGTTGCGACACGAGTCAGTACCTAGGTACTTGCAGTGGTAATCCCTCCATCCCCCTTGCGGCGTCCCTTGCGAGTGTGAGGGATTTACAGATCTACATATTGTCTGTAGGATGCTGCGATACCCATGAGTTTTCTTGCTTCCCCAGAACCGCTCCCGTCTGTACAGTATGGCCGACCTTTCAAACCTCAAGAAGCTGCGCCCATGCGGCAGACTAGAAACATACAGCACCGCACGACACCATTTCGGGTTCTACAAGAACGTTGGCTTTACCGCAGAATATGTGGCATCAAAGAACCCTCAATCATCGCTCGAACTGCGAATCTATACTGCGCTCCGAACAGTTATTGCCCAGCACCCGGTCCTGACGACCATCACGCTGAATGAAGATCAATCCTATCCCAACGTATACTTCGCGCAACTCCCTGAGATCGATCTACGTACCTGCGTAGAGATATGCGAGAGAAAGACACCATTCCCAAACGATGGCGAGGCGGACGAAGAGCTCGATCGATACCTAGTGCAGCAGCATAGCCGCGATTTTAAGGACAACCTAGGCTCGAAGCCTTTCTGGCGGCTGCTGGTCCTGACTTCACCACAAGACACATCCAAGTTCACGGCGACGTGGATGTGGCACCATGCGCTAGCAGACGGAACGTCAGCCTTCTCGTTTCACAAATCATTCCTGGCTGGCCTCAACACTCCGGAAGGCATCGCAGATGCGATTGTCAAGTCTCCATCTGCGGATCTAGCGCCGCCATTAGAGGACTTACATCCAATGACTATAACGTGGCCTTACTTCATCAAGGCCATTCTTGGTGCCTTGTTACCCTCGGTATTCGCAAAGCGACCTCCGAAACTATGGGCGGGCAACGCTATACAGCCGAACGCTACGCCGATTCCGCCACCGCATTATCGCACGCTCGTCCTGTCGAAAGCGACTACGGACAAGCTGGCTCAAGTCAGCCGATCTGAAAAGACAAGCGTAACAGCAACGTTGCAATGCCTTCTCGCCGCGTCACTCTTCACCTGCCTCTCAGCAGAAGACTGTGAGAGGCTTCACATTGAAGGCCCGATATCGATAAAGAAATTCTTAAACGTGGAGGCACAGCAGATGACCATGACGATTGCCGAATATGCGCACCTTCACGAGCGCGTCGCATCTCGAGAACCCAAACTCAAAGATTCAGCAGGACTGAGTGTCCTACAGCAGTTCTCATGGGACACTGCACGCGCAGTGAAATCCACCATATCCACAGAAGTCGCCAAATCTGGCGTCGATAACCCCGTCGCGCTGCTGAAATACATCTCTTCTATGCAGCAACATTTCTTCGATAAATTAGGTAAGCCTCGCAAGTCTGCAGCAGAACTGTCCAGTGCAGGAGTATGGAAGCATACTCAGAGTGAAGGAGTATGGACTGTCGGTCGGATGGTGTTCAGCCAATCTCCCAATATTGTGGCCAATGCTTTGAAACTCAACGTTGTAACAGGTGGCGATGGAAACGCGACGTTGAACTTCTGCTGGGCTGAGGATGCTGTGGAAGAGCAGCTCATGCGTGATATCATCGAGGGAGTTAGGACTGGGACCGAATATCTAGTAGGAAGAAGCCAGGAGTAGATAGCATAGTTGCAAGTTGGATGCGGATGCATTTCCTTTATCCGCTGGTCTGCGTAGTAATGATAGTTTCAACGCATGTGCACCAACGAAGCACAAGGATATCCATAATACGCCCTTCCGGGCGAACACAAAGAGGGTTTAAGAAAAGTCCACGGGCTGTCCTGGGTTGGAAGCCTTATATCAGCACATCACCTGTGAGCCGAATTACATACCGCTGCAGTGTTCAGCAGCGACGCCACAAAATAAAGCGACTAAGAGTCATCATACGATTCGGCAAGAAATAGTACTTCCAAGAAGAAAACAGGTATATAAGCATCAACTCCAACGCCAAATACCCCCCCTAGTACATACAATGGAAGCACATGAGCCTCATGCAGCATGCCGAGGCTACTGAATCCAACCCTGAAACGCGGAACCATGCCAACACATCTGTCACTATTGTCGCTTCATATCCGTCGTTCCCTACTTGCTTCCTCTTCGATATTCCCAGACTTCCTGCCCTTGTCCGTTCGCGTTCGCGCCTGAGCCATAGTATGTGGCATATGCTGCGTTCATGCCCTCATGGTGCTCTTTCGCGTGGCGCTTGATGGAGTTCCAAAGGCCCCGAGCTTTGCTCGGTTCCTTCAGTGTAGATGCAGATGACGAAACAACAGACGTTGACGATGAAGATGCCTGGACTGGTGTCTTGATGTATTCGAAAGAGGTGCGAGGAGTCGTCGCGGAAGAGCCTGACATCTTCGATATGTAGGGATTTGAGCGTGTTTCTTTCGATTCAGATGGCTTTAGAGGCGGTGTAGTGGTGTATATATGAGCCTTGCTCGATACGCCGATGTTGATGCCGATTTGAAGCTTGCGTGTCGAGAATGATGGCAAACGTACTCGATTGATTACTGTGGATCAGGGTGCTTTGTCCTTTCTGTCGGACCGGTACCAAATCTGCCGATTTGTTTGAGCCCACGTTGTCAGAAGAAGAATGTGCTGGTAATGTCTAGATCACTTCAGCTGCGCACAACACCATCTTATACTCATCCCACAGCTCAGGCCACTGTACCGATTCAGACATCCGAGAATCGCACACCCTATGACTCCAAGGACCAACATGACTTTGCCGTCGCAGTGCTGACTGTTTCGGTAATTGACCTGAAAGGCGTGGGAGGCTTGTTTCAGCGGCTTTGCTTGTCGAAAACATGACCATACGCCTGAGAGGCGCAATGTGGAGACAGTTTGACGCCAGCATTGCGCCAGATGGGTCCAATGGGAGACTTGCGCTGAAGCCACTTTCTCCCGGAATACGCTAGTGCATGTGGACTTCCCGACGGGTAGCAAAGAATGCGCGGTGCGAGTGTTGTACTCCTGAGGCACGGGTGTAAAAGGCTAGTCGTACGAGAGCCAGGTCACATCGACACATGCCAACGACGCCGCAGGGTCGCGCCGTACGTTTCTGAAGCTCTTGTTGGTAATCTGTCTTGCATGGTGTACAGGTTGGCTTGCGTAAAGAGCGGAACAGGGTCATTGGGGTGTAGGGCGTGCGTCTTGTGCACAGGCGCGATCCAATAGCTGGAAAGTGGGGCTGGCGCGTCCTAGTGACGAACGCGCGCGCCCTGTACATGTCAATCGTCGGTGGCCGAAGCCGCTGTATGAATGCGATGCACGTTGAGCCTTGCGATCTCAGCAACTCGACCGTGCTTGGGGTAGAGAGTGTGGCCCACGTCAATTGCGCAACGTTGACAACAGCCTTATCGCGGCACAAAAACACATCAAGCGGCACAGAAGCATACGTGGGAACGTCAGCGATGGATATTATCATTTTGGACTATCGAACACCTGATTTTGTGTCTAGGGCTTAACAACTGTCTGCCACGGAAGTGTGTTGTCGAAGAAAAAGGTTGCTTTTGGCTGTGCCGCAAGGCCTTCGCCCGTCATGTTGCACAGCTTGGTCACGTCACCGGCCTCTGCACGCTTCGCCTTGATGATATCTTGGTACTGAGACAGGGGGCAAGATGAGCCAGGACCACTGGTGCAATCCACAACAGGGTAGACAACCTCGTTAATGCGGATGCGCATGAAAGTTTCTTCAGGGGCGGTGCCGTTGTAGTCGGCTGCATAGCCAGAGCCATATGTGCTGTTGTGGGCAGCAGCAGGACAAGAGAGGCGTTCGAATGCAACAGTTCCGCGCATCTTCACGACCTGAGAGGAGCGGAAGAGTCGGTCCAACAACGACATGTTGCCAGGAAGCTGCTGTTGGTTGTCGAAAACACCGATCGCAGCGGCCAGCTGGTTGATTTGGCCATCATTTGCGAAATTGGCCATGATCTTTGGAGGGACAAAAGTGCCATTGCCCGTCTTGTAGGTTGCGTCTGGACCATCGACAAAGCGTTGCACAGTCATGTCAACGATAGGCAACATCTGATACTTCTCGATATCGGATCCCAGACCGGTGCCGTACCAATAACGCAAATCCTGCGCATATTCGTACTGCAAGATCTCTTCCTGCGTGAAGATATCGCAAAAGGGGCTTCGACGGCCGGTGATTTGCGTCTCGAATCCACACAAGTAGGGTATCTGGTCGACTTGACTCGTTGTGAGGTTCAGGCCTTGGATCTTCCCGTTGAGCCTAGCGGCAATCGGGGGAAGGTACATAGAGTCCCACGTCTCCTTGGCAGGACCTCCACCCGCGTCGTTGTAGGCATTGCACAGGTCGCTGGGAGCAAGAGTGTTGCCCCAACTGGCAGGGTCGCTCGCGTTGAGAGCATAGATTGTAGTGAGGTCTGTAGCGTTGGGCCCCACGAAACCTTGAGCGAACAGGCGTGCGCTGTCCCGAACGCGTGGACCAGACGTATAGTAGTTTGCCCACATAGTAAAAGCGGTGTTGTACTTGTACAGGTCGGGGTAACGAAGGCGCCACGCTGTACCCATCTCGTGTAGTTCTTTCCAGCCGGTCGGGCTCAGATTAGCGATTTGAGCGTCCGGGTCTGAGAGGACCGGCTTCCAGGATTTGAGGAACGCGAGTTTCTCGTCGGTGATGGTGATGTCTCCGGCAGCTTGGATGTAATTGGCAAATTCAACCCACCCATTGTAGGCGCCACTATAAAGGTAAAGAGACAAAGTCAGCCTATGCCTCATATACAGCGCGTGCAGTAGTTACCGGTCTGGGAACCGCGAACCGTGACGGGAGAAGAAAGCTATGTGTTCTTAGTCTGGCATTCTTCAATCGCGGAATCAAGCTGCCCTACCTGCCAGATCGACCTTGCATCCTGTAGGTATATCGGACGAAATGCCCGTCACCTCTTCGCCGGGGAACCATTGTCCGTTGCCGCCGATATGCTGGAAGATATTGAAGTTGTCTTGGGCTGCAACAGCAGCACTGCTAGCGACGAGAGAAAGAGCAAGAAGCTTCATGATTACCGTTAAGAAACGAGGGACGCTCCGAAGTGCAGATAGGAATAGAGCGCACGCCTATCATCTTTATACCCGACATGTTGATTGATCGTGGTGTTGTCAAGTTCAGCACCTGCTTTAGCCTCGGAGATGAGTTCTGGCGATGCTTCCTAAGGCGGTAAGGATGCTCAGGAACCAGCTGCACGTGGGAGCATCGACGGCGTGGGTGGTCTCTTCGCACGGAGGCGCGGTCTGCCACAGCGGCCAAGGAACTCCATTGTAGGATGCAATCCTTCGCGCATGCGAAATACGATGGTTTCGACCCGAGCTTCGCGTGAATTGCGGTTGACGTAGGTTGATAGCAGTGGATGACCATGCATCTGTCGCCCTTCGGAGGTGCATGCTCCGATTAGTCACGCCTTATCGATACCGCACCCGCGATCGCGGCATCTGACTGACTCAATCTTCAGCTATCTTTGCCAATAACACACCCGCAACGATGCACGTCTCCATGTCCCCTCGGTGACTATCCGAATCAAGCTCCGCTCAGCACTTCTATCCATCAGATCATGGCTGAATCCAAGCCGCGTCAACGCAAATTCGCGCCAAGGTCACGGACGGGCTGCCTCACATGCCGAACCCGGCGGAAGAGGTGCGATAGCGCCCAGCCTCAGTGTGCCAACTGCAAACGCCTCAACCTGTTATGCGAATGGCAAACTCCACGAAGTATCGTTTCGGAATCGTCTTCGTCCCAGTCAAGCTCAAAGAGTCCGGAGCGCCAGGTCGCAGTCCCACTGCACTCGTCTCTTGATCCATGGGATGCACTACCGGGCGACGAAGGAGCGGAGCGGATGCATTTATTGCAGTATTACATCGAGGCGTTTGTACCCAGTGTCCAAGTAGCACCTATTGCAACGAGTTTCTACACCAGCCTCTACATGCCTTGGTCTTTCCAGATCGAAGGTATGCTTGACGCTATCCTGGCTATATCTTCTGCTCAGTTGGCGAGGCGAAGCCAGGACGCAGAACGCGCCAAACATCTTCGCGCCGTATCCTCCCGCCACGAGAGGAAGTGCTATCAGTTCATCAAGGAGCGCTTGAACCCGTCGGGTGGATTACCAGAAGATACCTACCAGGTCACTGCGGTGATTCTCATCCTGGTAGGACTAGAAGCACTCAACGGTGTCAAGACTACGAGATGGATATCGCAACTGAAGAGTGTGCAACGGATACTTAGTGCGCTCACTCCGGAACAGAGCATCATGGACTGTGTTGAAGTTGATTCTCTGCATCGACACTTCACTTACCACTTCGCCTCTGCTTCGCTCATGGCGCGGGTGTCAAACGCCGGAAAGGCCTGTTCGGCAGAGCAGGGCTTGATACCAATCAGCGCCGCCCTAATGCCAGGCACAATCGACCCGCTCATGGGAATCTCATACCAGCTATGCGACCTGATTTCACGGATACAGTATGTCACCTCTTCGAGTCCCGCGTTTCCCCTCGCTACCGAAGCGTCTTTCAACGTGATCGAGAAGGGTATACAGAATTGGGCTTACGACAACCCGTTTGCACTTGGCGTCGATACTTCTATAGCTCTCGACCTCATCGCCTTGGCAGAAGCCTACCGTTTAGCAGCTCTCATTCAGCTCTACCGCACCTCGCCTAGCCATTCAGCCAATATTGCGGGCTGTGCATCACGCGCGATGGAGTTTATCGCTCGTATACCACCGGGAAGCGCCGCGGAGTCAAGTTTGCTCTACCCAATATTCCTCGCTGGAGCCGAGCTAGATGATGAAGCGGCCATCGAGAAGTGTTTCCAGAGGCTAGAGGATATCCAGAATAGGAATCGGTACGAGAACGTTGAATGTGTCCAAAAGGTGTTGAAAGAAGTGTGGCGACCGAAGCTTGAAGGTGGTCAAAGAAGGGACTGGGAAGAAGTGGTAAGAGAGTGGAACTGGTCATTTACTTTGGGTTGATGCGATCCCGATGCAACTCTCCTCAGAAGCACCTTTTGCCCCGATCAAATGCTACGCTCTGGCGGGATGCCATGCGTACGTACCGGCTTGGAACCTCGGACATATCCGCTGTAAAGGAGCACTCATCGGCTCACTCATGATCGATGCCTCACTCAACGGCAATCTAAAATTCGCCCGGACCGGGTGTGTTTGGTGATGGAGTAGCTCCTTCCCCGCATGACATACTGTATCTTGGCAAACCCCGCCTCCTCCTGCAGCCTCCATCGAGATGTTGAACTTTGCCCCGATTTGCTCGCATGCGTCTCTTTGGGCAACCATGGGATTCTTAGTTGTGCCCAGCGTCACTGATTGCTTGGCCACTTTCCCCGCTTTGTAGCCTCTCGGTATCCACCTTTGCATTCTACTGCGTAGCGTCTGCGCGACGTCGATTCTTCACTTATCTACCAGGCGATTGCGTTCGACTGAGCATCATTGTTTTACGCCTATAACCTTCTACGTGCCACTCTTTGATCAACATGGCGAACACCGCTACTCCAACCATGGCCACTCCCATCGACTTTAACAGTGTGTCGGATACATCCAACCTCAAGCATCGTTCGGTGCTTATCACTGGCGCAGCATCTGGCATTGGTCTAGCCTGCGCGATAAAGATGGCTGAAGCAGGCGCAATAGTCACCATGGCTGATCTACACGATACGGCTGGGGGCGTCATCCAGGGTAAGTTCTGGCCGTGCGAATTGCCTGTGATATACATACTAACTTGGTACTCCCACCTCTGCAGATCTAACCACTCGAGGCCTCAGAGTGCAGTTCGTACAATGCGACGTGGCATCCTACGAGGATCAAGCCTCCATGTTCCAGTCTGCAATCATCTTTGGAGATGGGCAGATTGACATAGTGATCCCAAATGCAGGCATCCTTGCCGAGAAGAACCTCTTCGACATGGTGCCAGCCACGTTGCCAAACCCAGGAGACACACCACCACCTCCTCCAAGCTTTGCTTGCGTGTCCGTCAATCTTGAGGCAGTATACAATACCTGCTATCTAGCACTACATCACTTCCGCCTCCCGCGCGCAGCAGCAACAACTTTCAAGCCCAGCATCGTTCTCATCGCCTCGCTTGCAGCCTATATTGGATACCCATATAGCACCACATACAGCATGTCCAAGTTCGGTGTTCGAGGACTTCTGTACAGCCTGCGCGAGCGCGCCATGCACTCTTCGATCCGCATCAATCTTGTTGCACCCTGGTACGTGGATACCGGCATCGCCAAGCAACCCGACTTTGTAGAGGACAACGGCGCTGTTCTTAACATAATAGGATTTGTTTCCATGGACAGAGTCGTGGATGCTGTGGTGAGGTTTGCTTCGGTTCAAGAGTTGTGTGGAAGAAGCGTAGGCATCTTCCCCAAAGGCAGCGAAGATCTTCTCGACGATCTGGAAGGTGGATACGGCGGCGCGATAGTGAGTAAACATATGCGCGAGGTTCAAGCAGTCGTTGTGCAGGAGATGCAGAAACAGATGCAAACGTAGTTCATTGCCCAGTAGACCCGATATGAGAAACATCTTCGCGATATCGGCTTTGTCAATCACGACTGTCGACATCACATACTGGTTTGATGTTGATGTCAACCAGAGTCACGCTGATTCTCATCCCACAATCTCTGATCGCATGGCCATGTGGAAAATAGTACGATGTTACCACTGCCATGTGGGCCCGCGTTTGTACAAGCCATCGTACATGATGTACAATATGTCTTGCCACCCAACGTAGACATTTTCGCCGCCAGTACTAGATGTGTTTGTGCTTAGCCTTGGTTCACGCACGTAGCCATATGCCTGAGAAGCTTAAGAGAAGCTAGCTTCGGGACGCCGGAAGGGGCGTTTGTGAACGGATGCAACATCGCATCCCTCAGGGCAGGCGAGGCCCACCAAGCGATCAACGCGGACCTGTCCATGAAATTTTGTCGGATCTGTCCGCCTCAACCGTCCGTAGTCTTTCGCCCGCCGGTATGTTGTTGCGCCGTTTGCGATGAAAGCCCTGGGGCGTGTGAGAAATGCTCAAGTATATCCATGCGAAGAGAATGCCACATCGAACAAAACAACAGTAACACACATGCCACACATCCAGGAACCCCAAATGAAACGAGAACCAAGAACCGGTATCGACATTCTCGTAGTGGGAGGCGGCATCGGCGGACTCACCTTTGCAATCGAGGCCCACCGCAAGGGACACGATGTGCGCGTTCTTGAACGGAATGACGAAGGTCAATACTCGGGTACGTACCTCCCCATCCAACTATCGACCTCCAAACGAACCAAACTAACAAACCGACAGGTGAGATCATCATGATCACCAGCTCAGCGCTCGAAACGCCCAAGAAATGGCCAGGATTCTTAGAACGCCTCAGGGCCCTCGCATCGCCACCAACCTTTGACCTGCGCAAATACGACGGCACCTTCATCCAACACCATGCTCCTGGCAACTCTGCAAATCCGTCTTTGAGCATCTACCGAAAGAGGCTGCATAGTTTGCTGAATACCTACGTCAAAGAGCTCGGTATACCCATCACGTACGACGCGAAAGTGGATTCATACTTTGACTAAAACACATCAGGCGGTGTTATTCTCAAAAGTGGTCAGAGGATAACTGCAGATGTAGTGGTAGCCGCAGATGGTGTAGGCTCTAGGTCCCGCGAGATCATCGACGGGAATAGAGAGAAGCCGATTAGTTCTGGCTTTGTTGTTTACAGGACTTCTTTTCCTACTGGGCCGGCGATGGACAAGTATCCCCTTGTTGCGAGGGAGTTTCTGGGGCACGATCACCGTGGTTTCATGTATATTGGTCCCGGCGCGCATATGGTTATTTCTCATGACAATGGCGAGCTGTGCTATCTATTGACTTGTAAGGTTTGTAGTCGCTGGTTCATTGGCCTTGTAGATCGTTGCTAACTTCTATCAGGATGAGAACGGTACGGCAACAGAGAGCTGGTCGAAAACCACTTCCACGGATAGGATTCTGGATGTTGTAAAAGATTGGGATCCTTTTGTTACGGAGGTGATCAAGGCGACACCGAACAATCAGGTGCTCGACTGGAAGCTGATGTGGCGTGATCCACAGCCGCAGTGGGTGTCGAAAGGCGGCCATGTCGTGCAGCTGGGCGATGCTGCCCATCCCTTCTTGCCTACGTCGTTCAGTGGCGGCACGATGGCCATGGAAGACGCGTACTCACTAGCAGCCTGTCTACATGTTGCCGGGAAGCAGCACGTTGCGCTTGCAACCAAGGTGCACAATAAGCTGAGGTATGCCGATATAGATCGTGGAGAAACACCAGCGACTAACTTCGAAATTGTAGGTTTGAGCGAGTATCCTGCGCGCAGAAACTAGGATTCAAGAATCGTGAGATCTTTCAAAACACCGACTGGAAAGACGAAAAGGCGGCGCCGACAAAGCAGCACAAGATGGTCGGAGATTGGTTGGTCTGTCACAATCCCGAGAAGTATGTTTACGATAACTACCACAAGTGTGCTGAGCATTTGGACACGGGTGTCGAGTTCTTGAACACGAACATACCGCCAGGATATGAGTACAGACCGTGGACCGTCCGCGGGCTGCTGGGGGCCTCGGAACGTGGCGAAGTGGTTGAGGATGAAGGCGACTGGTCCTAAAAGAAGGGAAGCTTGCAGAATGCAGCGTTATCACTGTAACTGCTTCAGCTTATCAATTGGCCATGCTGGCAACATCTCTTCTCGATGTATATATATGGGCATCCGGCGGCAACTGTTGATGCTGATTAGAACTGCCGAACTTCATGCTTCTCTCTGCTGTGTCCTGCCCCTGCTCCCTGTGGCTTACTGTCCCGTCGCTCGTATCCGCCGAACTTATAGCATGCCAGTATGCCTGGCTATTGCTTGCCATTGTATAGGCATGTAGCATGCCAGATGCCAACTTGTCATATCTTCTTAATGGTTAAGCTCGCCATTTTGTCCAACTGCTGCCTCCGAGTCGTGGAACAGCCAAGCCGCAATTACATCTATCATAACGCTCGAAGGATACGCGCACATCGCTTCCTACAACGATGCCGGCACCTTGGTTGTGGACGAGTGCGGTCGGGTTCCGTTCGAGGAGCGTGGCATCGTGCGCGCGTGTAGGAGGTGCTTTGAGAGCGAGGACTGTGGCAAATTCGCTTGAAAAGGCTCCAGCCTACCCGGTGGTGCCAGTTTATGCCTATGATGCGAAACGCGCGTGGGTTCTGGAGCGTACGATGATGACGTTGAGCTTCTCATGGCGACATTATGGAAGGCTCGCGATTGCGTGCTGTCGTGTTACAATACGCATGTCTTTAGCCAATATACCAACCACCTGTTGTATTGAAAGAAGGCAAGTTAGGCATAATAAAGCTCCCTTCGCGCAATGATCGCGTGGATTAGGAGTGTTGGTGGATAAACGTCCAATGACGACCAGCTCAACGTCCCCAAATGCCAAGGGATGTCGGAACGCTGCTCGGAACGGCTTGGCCCGGCTTGCCCTCCCATTCATCTAAGCTGCACTCCAACGGCAAGAATCTTAGTAAGACTCGGACATTTCCCATATCAACCATGTATTTCCAAGCTTCTGACCCAGGCCTGAAGTATTCGCGATATTGGGAAACTTCACCGTCGCGGCACTGAAGCATGACGGCCGATCGCGGAGCTCGAGGCCTTGTCGCTGTAAGTCAATCTCCATCATCCCCAGCGCAACGAAACTGACTGGGTACCTAGATAACAGGCGCAAACGGAACAATAGGCTATGCCTGTGTGGTCTACGCGCTGCAGACTGGCTATCGAGTGCGGTGCATCGTGCGCCGCGCCTCCGCCATCGAAACGATCAAAACCGGGCCCTCTGTGCAGCCCTACCTCGACCTAATCGAATCCGTCGCCGTGCCAGACAATGCAGTCGGAGGAGCATACGATGAAGCTGTTGCGGGTGTCGACTATGTTGTGCACATAGCAGGAGCATGGCCGATGCTCCATCTGGATCCTGACAACGACATCTACCATCCATACATCAGGTCGACGAGGGGCTTGATAGAAGCAGGGCGGAAGTCTGGCACAGTGAAGAGGATGGTATTCACGCAGGCTGGAGCGGGGCTTGTTGACTCTGAAGACGGCGATACACTAGGTACGCGTATGGAACGCGTCTTGAACGGTACGTCTCTTTGCTTCTGCCCTCGCGCCTCACTTCATGCGTCTTGCTGACCGATACAGAGGCAGTTCAGGTCTCGCAAACATCCCTCGCATACCGACCCCCTCTCAAATCCCCTCATAACGCCTACTGCTCCGCAAAAGCCCAATGTATGACCTACCTCGCTGATCTCCAAGCTTCCCACGAGCTCCCCTTCTCTATCGCGCAAATCATACCCGGTACCGTCATCGGCCCTTCGGAGTTCTGCACAACGTCGGAGCAAGCGCGTGCGCACATGGATCGACAGAGCAAGGCATTGCTGTTCGATGATGTGGCACCACGGTATGCGTTTGGTTTCGTGCATGTGCAAGACTGCGCTCGCATTCATATCGAGGCGCTAGATGAGAGGGTTAGAGGCGAGGATCTGCCCAAGTGGTATGTTGCCGCTGGGACGGTGGAGGAGGGGACAGATGGGGACAAACTCTGGAACTCTGTGGCGGACATGATTGAGCGAGACTTTGCCAAGGAGGTCAAGACTGGGGTTGTCACACTGGGACGCCAGAAGGTGCCTATCAACATGCCATTTCGCGTCGAATCAAGCATGACGGAGAAGATGCTGCTGAATGGTGACAAGATCAGGGGGCTAGAGGATAGCGTGAGAGAGGTCGCGGAGTGGTATATCCAGCTTAAAAGAACAGAGGAGAAAGCAGATGTGTAAACTGGGACAATGTTGAGGACGAGTTGAATCCATCGAATCAGTCTGATGTCGTACGTCCTACCACTTGAAGCTTTCTTCAAAGTACTCCACCCCTCTAAAACCTTTATCCAACATCTGGACACTCGCTTTCCTAGCTTGATCCGCCATCAAAGCTGGTCCACAAGCCACAATCGCCAGACGTTGCTGGCCCGCATCTCTAGCAGCCTCTTGAACTGTTTCATGTACGTCAGGTCTGTGTGCCATGATTCTTACGCTCTTCAAGTCTTCGCCCAACACATCGTCTTTTGCCTCATCATCCCGAGTGACGTGCACTTCCATCTCGACTCTCTCATCACTCAACGAGCCTCTGAAGTCGCGGAGAACAGAAGTGAGGAACGCGTACTCGCGTACTGCCCATACAATCTTCACACTCCGTACACGTGATGTACTGGCCAGAACGTGGGCTAGGTGTGATAGCGGGACCGCGATACCCGTTCCACCGACTACGAACAGAATGTTTTGTGAACTGCGGAGAGGAACAGTGTGTCCATAAGGCCCTTCCACAAGGACACGGAGTCTTTTGGGATGTAAGAGACAATGTGACTTCAATCGGGACGTGAAGCCGTCGTAAGGTCGGACAAGGAACACCATGTTCGATGAGGCATCTGAGGCTTTAGACGAAAGGAGTGCATCCGACTCTGTGGTTGAGGCTGATGAAGTACGCGAGTGCTCCGGCCTCGCTGAAAGCGGCGATAGTGGCGTAGATGGAGGATTGTCCGTATCTTTTGAACTGTATGCCAACGTGAACGGATGGCTCTGATGTGCATAGAACAGATCATCCAACACGTGGATGTAGTAGTAAGAGCCAGGCCTTGGGGCTACTAAGCTCTTACTACTATCGACTTCCATACGCACGAGGTTACTGCTAGGGTCATAAGTAACCCTAGCCTTGGTACTCAGCGGGCTGCGGTTGAAAGCTAAGATTCGTGAGAGGCGCATGATCCGGTCAAAGACCCAGACACCAACGCATGGCCAGATGAATATGTTCCACTCGCCATTAGTGAAAATCTCAACATGGTAGTACATAGTCCAGAGGGTTGCGATTGAGAGCGCTATGTGCGTGACGAGGAAGAACTCGTAGTGCGCACGACGGATACCGTAGAACGAGAACGCCAAAAGACCGCACATGGCGATGGTTGACAGTTCGCCGTTCCAAAAGTAGTGCTTCGTCCAGTAGTTTAGGAAGGATGGCCATCCTCCGCGCTCCAGTATCATCAGCGTGTATCCCACACTGTGCACTACGGCTTGTACTGTGGCAACCCTTGCCGCCCACCGATGGAAAGCGTTGTAGGTACCGAAACCCCATCCAGTCACCCAGATCAAAAGATCATTGCGCATACCAAAGAGCCAGACGAGTGGGAAGTTCGCGAGCGATATGATTCCCGTACGATCCGATACAAAACGGAGGAATTGCACTGACTTCTTCGGCCAATAAAGGTTGCCTTCGGTGAGACGGTAGGAGCAGCTGCAGAGAACAACGTTGAGCGCGACAAAAAGAAAGATGGTAAGCGACTGGATCCGTGGTGGGATGGTACACCAGCCGTACGGTCGAGAACAACGATCACCAAAAGCGGCAGGTGTAGTAACGTATCGCCTGAGCCATGTTCGGAGGGAAACCAAGGGACTTCGAGGTCCAGAAATCCGGCCGGATTCGACTTCTGGGACTGTTTTGTATGACATGTGGCGCTGTTCACTGCGTAGAAGTGACAGTATACGCGTCGTTACACCAACGGCCACTACTACGAGCCAGAAGTAGTACATGTACCAGCTGTGGGTATTATATTAGCGAAGTTGCGCCTAGCGGGATACAGGCTCGACTTACCCATACACGAGATGGATCTCGTATTCCCAGAATGCCGCCTCCTGTACGCCACATTTAGCACTCCATAGTCTCTTTGGCCGTATAGGCAGAAACGTACCATGGTGGTAAAAGCTCGCCTTACAAGCTCATCACTTGGTATCACAACTTCATCAATGGTCGGAAACTTCAATGCCTTTTCAGCCGCCAGTCGCGTCACTCTGGCCTTGTCGTCAGGGGTCCATTGGTCCAGAACATCGCGAAAGGAAGGTAATGTAATGTTTGCGTGTGCTTCACACCAGGGTTTCTGGTTCTCGATCCATTTTTCTGTCTGGCCATCCTGTATGCAGAACTCGTCGAAGCACAGATACAGTGATGTGAGGCGTAATTCACTTTGGCATCCTCGGATCTTGCTCGAAAGCGAAGGGTCGGTGTCGTTGAAGGTTACATAGTTGACGCCGGTCTCACATGCCAAAGGGCAGTACTTTCCCGAGTACAAAGCATGTGATGCACCTGTAAGCGTGTACAGAATGATGGAGATGGATGAAGTGCGCATGAGTGGACGCGATGAGGTACAAGATGGGGCGACGCAAGCTCGGAGTCGGAGATTGGCGGGGTCGTGAAATCTTATCAGATGTCTACGCACGGGCCCGCGCTGGCATCAGGCGCGCTTCTTTCGCGTCAGCTGGGTTGTTGCTTCGAGCTTGCAGATGGCCAGTGTCTGTGAGCACAAAGTTTACGCAGCGGCCATACTCGCTGTCTTAACCCCCTGTGGCACCACGTCATGTCTCACACCGCCTCAAAGGCGACCTTTCTCTCTTTACCTATCGAGCTCCGCCTAGAGATTGTCGCATACGCGCTGGAACAATCTGACGCGGGACTCACGAAACACCACGAGTCCAATGAGGGACGAACTTGTTCTACGATAGATGAGAGGTACAAAGCTAGTACCAACCTTGCGATACGGCTGGTTTGCCGCCAGTTCAACGCTGAGTTCCGTCGCCTTGCCATCCACAGTACCCTCTTTGTGCTCGCCAGGAACTCCACACGAGTTGCCGCTCAGCAAGTCGAAGAGCTTCTACAAGATGTAAAGAAGTTGAGGATTCACTGCAACCATGAGACCATCGGGAAATGGTACGAGTACCCGTTGAACAGGCAATGTATGCATCTCGATGAGCTACAGTTTGTAATGCCACTCGACGACTCTGCCAACCGGACAGCCCTCGTGGGTCTGTTCAGACGTTTGCGCAACGTCAAACAAGTCAAGCTCCTCTTCCCGAATCATTGTCTTGCCAGAGAACCACATGGCTACATCAGATTACTCGGCGAGCTGCTCAAAGAAGACCATTTCCAGAGATACGATGCCCCGAACGCTCCGAATTTCGAATCTACATTTTGGGAGTGGAGCTTTGACAAAGAGTCTAGTTGGGCTGTTCTCATGGCTCGGGAACCTATGGCACTTATGCCGGAAGAGCATTACTTGCTGCTCATGAAGCCGAAGATCGAGTACATTATGGATTACATGGCATCATAGCACCAAAACGGTAATAGTCACTGTGCGACACAGCACATTCGCGCCGTTATGTGATGACGAGGGAGAACCGCATGGATCCATAGAGTATGCTACCAAACCAACGGATTTCAACATTGATTGACGAGCCAAAGATAGTGAGGGTGCCACGATTCGGCCCAAGGCTTTGACGCGTCTTCACGTGGTCTCCAACACAGCTGCATCCCCGAGTGCTACGTAAGACTAGAACATCAGCATGGCTTAGCGGCATGGTAGAGTCTGGTATTATAAATGTCGCTGTGCGGAAAGAGGCCACAGTCGCTTACTGGCATTTGAGTGTGGCAGCTTAGCAATCACGCTGCTTCGGAGGCCCAGGAGATCCGATGCGGCCCCCACTTGCCCAACGATGCACTTGACGCACTGCATCGCGCCTGCCTCACCCCCAAGCGCGACTGCTATAACAGCAGCCATGCCACGCCCTTCCAGACGCCGTCTATCCCCCATATCAATTCACCGTCCACCATGAGCGCTCCGAAGCCAATCCTCATTTCCGGCGCCGGCCTCGCCTCGCTCCTACTCGCCCGCTCGCTGCACCGTTCCAAGATCCCGTTCCTCGTCTTCGAACGCGACGCGTCCATCGTCTTCAGAGCGCAGGGTTATAGGTTGAGACTCTCGGCGCAGGGTCTGGACGCCATTGAGCAAGTGCTCGGTCCGGCAGGATTCAAGACATTCTACGACGCTTGCGGCAAAACTGGCGGGGCTGGATTCGCGGCAGTGAACCCGCTGACAGGCGAGACAATAGGTGGAGATGCTCCGAGCGTCAAGAGCGAGCCTTTGACCAGCAGAGACGGCAAGGTCGTTGGAGTGTCGCGCGGTGATATGCGCAAGCTGTTCATGGACGGCATCGAGGACCGTGTGGTTTGGAAACACCAGGTCGCAGCCTACGAGAGGACGGACAATGGTGTGCGACTAGTCTTCGCCGACGGTACCAAGTCCGAGGAGGGCTCTATGCTGATCGGTGGTGAGGGTGTTAAGAGTGCAGTCGCTGGTCAGCTGTCCAATGGGGCGATTAAAGTCTACGATCTCGGTTCCAGAGGAATACATGGACAAGCCCCGACAGCAGCCTTCAAGGCCTTGGGCGAAGGTGTCTTCCGCCTCGTCGACGATACATCACAGCCGAACGGTGGCAAGGTCTTCGTCATCACAAATGTACGCGCAGGCGACATGGACAAGCCCGACGTCAACTTCGGCTGGACCATGATCGGCTCTCCAGGCGTCATCAAAGCGCCGAACGACAATTACACGATTACTGGGCCGCCTGCTGCACAGATAGCAAAGGCACTTACATCGCACTGGCATGATCGTGTCAAGCTACTCTTCGATAACATGGCCGAGTCGGAAGCAGCTTTCTGGAAGATAACATGTTCGTCACCAGAAGGCGTACCGAAGTGGCCCAACGACCCTCGAGTCACTCTGGTTGGCGATGCGGTGCATGCCATGACGCCGGCAGGAGGCAACGGCGCAAACACAGCTGTGCGCGACTCGGCTTTGCTCGGTCGATTGATAGCCGAAGCCTGGGAGAGAGGCGATGGCGATAGATGGACGGGTGTCACAGAAGCATATGAAAAAGAGATGCGAATATACGCAACAGAGGCTGTCAAGGCTAGTTATGGGCAGGCTACAGGGCAATTCGGCATTGATCTTGATCTCAACACTGCGCCTACAATTAACGAATATGTCGCGCCAAACTGAGTATTCTTCGTTGCAGCAGACTGGTCATCAGTCCGAACAGGGTTTAGCGTCACTTTCCTATGAGACGGCATTAGGTCGTGTTGACGAATGATACGCATCATCTTCATCCTTACTTTTACGTGCGACTCACGGTCACTAACGATACAGGGTGTTCTGGCTGGACAATTGCAAGCCCCCAAGTCTGCCGCGGGACGAATGTCGCGTCCTCCGTTGCCGATTGTAGATTCCGCCGCAGAGCCACGACTCATGTGTAGCTTCCCCGCATCTCCATCAGGCCCACCCCCGACTTCAAAAAACCGGGCCATCCAGTACGTGCGAAATTCCCGATAACAATGGATTCGCCGCGACCACGCAAACGCCGTGCCATCAATGCATGCGTCAGTTGCCGAACGTCCAAAGTACGATGCGACGGGAACCGCCCTTGCCAACGATGTGACCGGAATGGCGCAACTTGCCAATACTTTGACGCCGTAAAGGACGAAAATGTGTTGCGGATCGAAAGGCTCGAGAATGAGATGGCTGCTCTTCGTGAACACATGCGTATCCAGCGACATCAAGACAAGAGTGTACGTAGGCCTGAAGACTACACTTGGATAAAAGAGGCAAATCCGAACACCTGGCGCCAATGTAGGCTCCAGGGTGTTCTGTTTCCTCCTTATTTGAGGTGGTGTCCTACGCGAACCAGCGGAAAGCTAGCTGACCATGATTATGAATGCAGTTACCCATGGAGGATGCGACTGGGACAGGGCCAGAAGTCGCACTCCGGTCTATGCCCAAGTGCAACGCCACTGCCGTTGACGCCGGTCTCATCACATGGGATCAAGCTGTCCACTGGTATCAAAGGTAGACAAACTCACTGCAATTCTCGAGCCCAGATCACTGATTCCACAAAGTTTCTTCTCGGGCAGTGTATGAAAGCCCCGTTTCACCTGGTGAACCATACTAAAAGCAATAGCAATACCTCGTGCCCATCTTTTGCGAGAGACATGACAACATCGCATCAGTGGCTTCACGCAGCCCCATTCTTTTTGACGCCATAGTCAGTATTGGATGTCGCGCCGCCGAAGGTTTCAACACCAGGATCTATCGTCAGTAGCATTCCCGCATGGACTGAATGTGAGACGAATGCTGACGTTATACACCCATTTCTAGGCCGCCTCCAGACTCGAGTCCGTGATCAATTTACCGACCTATTCATCAACACGAATACCCCTACAGTAGAGGATATACAGGCCATCGCACTGGTGGCTGCGTACTCGGAGAACGCGTTCGTTCTGGTGGCTATGGCCCTTCGCTTCGCCATCCAGCTTGGGCTACCTCATGTTGTCGATCAGCTCATCGCCAAAAGTCACGCACGTTCCGGGATCGTGACCGCCGATGAGCAAGAGCTTTACCGTCTATCTAGAGTTTGGCTTGGGATCTGCAATCTTGAACTCTTGTGAGTATCATGTTAGCCTGATCGGAGAGCGCTACTAAAAACACTCAAGTTTCTCTCTAGATGGCGGTAAACTGCCGGGCCTTTCTCTTCAAATGTCATCTCGAAAGATCAGATGTCTGTTAGCTCACCCAGAACGTACATCTACCGACATCCGCCTCCTCTCGCAAGTGGAGCTCAACATCATCCGCACGGAAGCTTATACAAAGATCATGGGCCAGAGTAATGACTATATGGGTCAACACAGCGAAGATCAACTCCGAACTACGGTAGATGAGGCTTGTGTTGAGCTGTCACTATGGCTCGATGAATGGACCAACATCGCTCTGACCGAGCCAGCGCCACATCAACGGACTCTTGCGTTGCAGAACTTATGTATACAGCAAGCTTGGGCGACGATGACTATGTACTTAAAGGCGGTAGGCTCTTCCGGAATCGAGAACATTGCGATCATGACCGACTTTCAGCGCGACTTCATACGCAAAGCCAAAGAGGCAGCGAATCGACATCTCCACTACATGCTTCAGTCATCGTCAACGCCAACTTCATCGCCGGTGTCTCATGCCTCGACTTCTGGCTCAACATACCTCAGCACTTTTCGCTGGACGCTCGATTATGTCTGGGCCAAGTGTGCGGTCTCAGTCTTGCTGGTCCTCAAGTTAGCCATTCTCCTCCGCGACCCGGTACCTTCGGTCATGGCGCTGCTCAGCGATGCGCATCGCGTACTGGAAGAGCTCAAGACTGTTACCGTCGGCCACATCGCATACTTTCAGATCTTGCAAACCAGCATCGAGAAGTGTGAAGCTGCTCTCCGAGAGTATGCTGCGGAACAGATACCCGACCAGGACTCTTCGATGGCGGGAGCCAGAAGCAGTGTAGCTGAAGACGAGTTCCAAGGTTACGTTCCCAGCGAGTTCGTCTTCGAGTGGGGTAAGTTTGGACTGTGGAAACGCTTGTGAAATCTATACTGACTTCGTACGTCCACCTCTGCAGACTTTCCTGGACTTAACCTAAAACATATGCCGCTCGGATGGCAAGACCTCTTTGTCAACATCGACAGCTTGTTCTAGACGAAAGGCATGCTTGGAAGGCAGGCTGCCGTATAAGAGCCGTGCATGGTGCGTGGATCCGAGGGTCAAGCATATCCTGGGAGTATCAACAGTGTTTACATGCACATGTCAATGGAGCAAATGTTGTATGTAAGTTCAGTGTATATTGTAACTAAGCTACAACTATCGGAAGTCATGTTTCAAGCGTCAACCCGTTGATCAATATACATAGATGAAGTCCTCGTTCTTGATGTCAGTCACATCATCGAACGCCTTGTCGCCCACACCGCTGGCTTGTGCGTTCTCAGCTCCCTCTGCATCACCCTCGCGCGCAGAACCCATGCTGGTATCAACGACAATGGCCGACTTCCCCATGCTCTCTCTTGTTGCCGCATGCTTTCGGTTCAGAAGCTTGATCCAGAACATTGCAAGCAGGATCAGGACGACGATCGCGATGAAGAGAGCGAGGTTGGCGCGGAGGCCTCGGTAGTAGTGTGGTTTTTCTGACGGTTTGAAGAGCTGTGGGCCGATGATGTTGCCGGCGCTGGCGCCGACGAAGAGGATACTTGTCGTTACTTTACGCTTCGTGTCGCCTCCTGTGTTTTGGCCTGACCAGCTATAGATCAAAGGTGAAATGCCGGGATAGAAAGACGTCAGCTGGAAGCACAGGGTTAGTAGGTTACATGTTTTGCGTTGCCACTACTTACGTAGTATCCGAGAAGAAGTACACCGCGATTCGAGTCGCCGCGGCCAACGACCATGAGGATGACGATGCCGGCGATTGGTGGTATACATAAGAGTATCAGCACGGGCGACTTCCGTTTCAGCCACGTGGCTAGCCAAGCTCCACCGCAGGTAGCTATAATCTGGATGACGCCGAAAGGCATGTTGAAGAGGATCGTAGCGAAGGGCCCAAACCCAAAACCTGATTTTCGAGCAATCAGTGGAGTTCAGACTTGCAGCTTGCAGGAACGTTGGACTTACTCTGGATGATCAGAGGCCCGAAAGCACTGATACCACCACTCGGGATGCTGATCGCTGTCAACATGGAAAACCAAAGCCATGTCTTGGGATCCATGAATGCCTCCAGTACGTGGTCCCACTTCCAGACACGAGATGCAACGCCCATCTGGTTCATACGCAGACGTTCGACAGCGACGAGCTTTTCGTGATCGTTGAAGAACTTGGCCTAAAGATTGGGGCACGAAGTCAGTACATCTCTCACATCAGCTCGTACAGGGAAACACTTGCCTCCATGGGTGAGTCGGGCATAAACAACCATACAAAGACCGAAACGACGACTGTGAGGAGACCACAGAAGAGAAAGATGATCTGGTATGAGTACAGAAGATTGGACTGAATGTGGCCCAAGCCGTAGCAGAGCAGACTGCCGAGGATGTTGACCATACCCAGCATGGCGTACCAAGCTGCGTTTCGGTTCGTTTGCTCGCCGCGCTTATACCACATCTGTACAACGGCGATGAAAGCAGGAGCTGGATGCGTTAGCGTGAGTCTTCGTGATGGCTTGAAGAGTTGGCTTACCAACGGCAGCTTCGAAAGCGCCCAACAAGAATCGCGTGGCCATCAGCCCGGCGAAGCTGCTGGCACCCGCCATTCCGCATAATATGCAGCCCCAGGTGAACACCATAACACCCATGAACTTCCCCATCCTGAGCTTGACCAGCAACACAGCCACTAGCGGCTGTGCCACTAGCTGCGCAATGTACACGATACTCCCAAGCCATGAGTATTGTTGACTGTTGGGATCGAGGTTCGCATCTTCGATGAGGCCAAAGACGGAAGCGTAGGATAACGTGGTCTTGTCGAGCGATTGGAGGAAATAGACGCTGAGTAGGATAGGCAAGATGACAAGATCAATCTTCTTCAAGACGCGTTTGTTCTCGGCAGATGTTACGACGATGCGTTCGTTCGAGGCGAGAAGTGCGGCGGCTTTGTCTTTGCCTTTGCCGTCCGTCGCATTGGCTGGCTTGTAAAGCGACTCCGTGGTTTCGACGTTGGGCTTGGACGCGGCGACGTCGTCGGTCACCTCCGGTTTCGACATGTTCAACAAGAAGACTACAATCAACCCAGGAAGAGTCTGAGATAATGCTGCAGTAGTAGGTCAATATGGCCCGACTGCACTTATACGCATCCCCACGGGGACCCCAGACGCTGATCTTGTCTCTCTTCGGGCTAGGTCTCGTAGCTACGGCCGAAGAAACCGGCAGCCAAGGATGGATGCCTTTAGCCTCGTGACGAGGGTACGCTCCTTCGGTTTTCTCCGATGGTACTTTCGGGCGAATTTCAATGGCCTGCCTTGCTATAAGTACAGTATGATTCATGATGCTCATGATACTTGGCAAGAAGACAGGCATTGCTAACTGTGAAAGCCGTTCTATATTCATCATGCCGATGCTTGAGCACGTCCCCAGCGGCTACCAAGCTGTTCCCGCAACGGCATCGTTTAACACGAGCGTTGAGTTGCAATCAAACTCGGGCTTTGTTTTCACGTTTGACGCTTTACGACCTGGACTTTTCCGAACGACTTTCACGTCGCCCAAGCACTTGTTGCCGCCACACCGAGCCACACCAGTACCGAGCAAGACCCTGGACGACACGACTGCGGCACGGGTATCATCAAGCACCACCTCAAAAGCATTCGCCGTCGATGGAGTCACTGCCAATGTGGATTGGGAAGGCGGTGTACCCATAGTATCACTTACGCTTCCTGGCCAAAAGACACCCATTCATACCGATCTGCCCAATCGCTCCTATGTTGCTGATGGGCCTGGGGTTTCGCACTACACACGCTACAATAATGGGACCCTTCACCTTGGACTTGGCGAGAAGCCAGCACCCATGGATTTATCGAATCGCCACTTCGTTCTCTCCGCCACCGACTCTTTCGGCTACGATGTTTACCGTACAGACCCGCTGTATAAGCACATTCCTCTCCTGATCAATTGCACGCCAGATGGCTGTGTTGGTATCTTCTCAACATCGCATGCCCGTGGCTTCTACTCTGTAAGAAGTACCGCTGTACACCTGCATCTGAGACACATACTGACCTCTTTTACCAGGTCGGCTCTGAGATGGATGGGATGTGGGGACGCTTCAAAGTCTATCGTCAAGACTATGGCGGCCTCGAGGAGTATCTCTTGGTCGGAAAGACACTACCGGATATTGTGCGCATCTACGCTGATCTTGTTGGCTATCCACTTCTGGTGCCGCGGTGGGCATTCGGTTACCTGGCCGGCGGTATGAAATACTCCATGACGGACGACCCACCTGCTAGTCAGAGCATGATGGAGTTTGCTGCCAAGCTCAAAGAACACGACATTCCATGCTCCGGCATGCAAATGTCATCTGGCTATACGGTCGCGGAGACAGAACCCAAGACGCGCAACGTGTTTACGTGGAACAAGCACCGGTTTCCTGATCCGAAAGGCTGGATCAATGCTTATCACAAGGAAGGCATTCGACTCATTGCAAACGTGAAGCCGTATGTATTGGGCAGCCATCCCGAGTATCAAAAGCTCAAAGACGCTGGCGCATTCTTTACGGATTCGTTGACACTCGCATCAGCTGAAGCGAGACTATGGAGCGCGGGTGGAGGTGAGAGTGGAGTCGGTGGCCATATCGACTTCACTTCCAAGGCTGGGTACCAGTGGTGGTACGACGGCATTCGCGAGCTGAAGCGTGTCGGCATTGACTGCATTTGGAACGACAACAACGAATACACTGTCCCACACGATGGCTGGCAGTGCGCGCTGGATGAGCCAGCCGTCACCCAAGAGCCCAAGAGCGACGACTATGGCCACAGCATCGGATTCTGGGGTCGCGCACTCAACACCGAACTGATGGGGAAATCTTCGCACGATGCAGCCTTGGAGATGGAACCTGCGCAACGCCCTTTCATCTTGACCCGAAGCGCCACAGCAGGAACGCTTCGATACTGTGCAAGTGCCTGGAGCGGAGACAATGTCACCTCTTGGCCAGGCATGAAAGGCGCCAACGCTCTGTCCCTCACCGCGGGCGTGTGTCTAATGCAATGCTACGGCCACGACATAGGCGGTTTCGAAGGCCCACAGCCCAGTCCCGAGCTTCTCGTCCGCTGGTGCCAGCAAGGCATCTACAGTCCGCGCTTCGCCATCAACTGCTTCAAAACGGGCAAAGACAACCGCGTCGGCGATGTGATCGAGCCTTGGATGTATCCCGAGGTGACTAGCATAATCCGCGACACGATCAAGCGCCGCTACGAACTCATTCCCTATCTCTACTCGCTAGCGCTGCATTCTCACATGACCGCCACGCCACCGCAGCGTTGGACTGGATGGGGATATGAGAGTGATCCAGAGATTTGGACCAACAAGACACTTACCGATGGCGAAACACAGTACTGGCTTGGTGATGCACTACTGGTCGGTGGTGTCTTCACTCCTGGTGCCGAGACTGCTAGCATGTACCTTCCCAAGGACGCTTCAGACCCTGATGCCGCGTTTCTGGACCTGAACAACAACCCACAAACGTATTACAGCGCGGGACAGTGGGTTGATGTTGCATCGCACTGGCAGTCCAGCATTCCTGTCTTGGCGAAAGTTGGAAGCGCGATACCTGTTGGACGAGCGGAACAAGTCCTCTCTGTAGGCGAAACAAACAACCCGGCGAACCTGCCCCTGGACGATTACCGTGGGGTGGAGATCTTCCCTCCAAAGGCTTCTTCCAACGGTAAAGTCTACACGTCTACTTGGTACGAAGACGACGGTGTTTCGCCGCCGCCAGCCAGGATCTCCGTCTTTACAGTATCCTTCGAGTCAACGGCCACGCAGGTACTGGTGCGATATGAGGAGAAATTGCAAGATGGCTTCGTCCCGCATTGGAAGGACCTGGAGGTTGTCCTGCCGAGGGGCGATGAGAGAAGTGTTGTCTTCAATGGCGCAGATGCGGAGAAGACGGGAACTGACAAGTTGGGGAGAGGGAGGTGGAAGGGTAGTGTTGGAGGGAGGAAATAAGCGTTGATTGCAGCTAGCACAAATTGAGCTGCGGATATTTCATATGTACCCGCTTGTGCCGCTCTGTGATTAGACCCTGATGGTTTTGCCCCGCTAGACACGACACCGCATTTTGGCGGCCGATCACGGCAAATGCAAGGACCGGTGTATAGATGTAGGTTATAGATGCCATTCACAAATCAGATCATAAGACGTTTATCTGAAGCGTTTGCCATCCAACTAGAAAGCCTTCCTAGCTCAGTGGTAGAGCGCGTCACTAGTAATGACGAGGTCGTCAGTGAGTAGCACCCCCATTCGAAGCACGTAGGAGACGACGACGCTGACGTGCCTTGAAGGTTCAATTCTGGCGGAAGGCAACTACGGCAGCAGGCAGACGCCATTCCTTTTTGCTTGTGTTGTCCTGGGGTTCTGTTGGGAAGCATGCTCTTTTTTGCGGCATTGTGGTGGTGGAGGGGCAAAGTGGGGCTTATGCGTCTTCATCCTTCTATTGCTTATGCGACAACATGAAAAGCAGGATATTGAACAATCACAGACGACGGGAACAGTCTTCTCCGACCCCTAGCTGCAACGGCGTCTCTCACAGCAGGCATGCGACAATGTCCCCAACGTCCAGTCATGGCACGACCCGTTGTCTCCTTTCCACCACCATGGACGTTTCTAATTCCCTCTACGATGCCTTCACCCAAACCTTCCCATCTCTAACCCCAAGACGGTGAACTCTAACAAACTCACGCTCTGCTTCGTCTCCCCTACGCTTACCAACAACAACAGTACCAGAACTCGTCGTCGGCTTCTCAGCACCAGGTTCCTTCTGCTCTTCAAGCCACGGATACCACGCCCTGACAAAATTGACATCACCCACCGACGGCGCCGTATCAATCTGAATCGCCCATGTGGACCCAAAGCGCGCGGCAACAAGCGGACAAACACTGATATCGTTCTTTTCCCAGCAATTAGAGTCCGCGGCATACGCATTCGAAGGATAAATCATGATGGAGCCGAGGTCAAAGGGGCCTTCGTCCATGATGGGAGCGTAGATGCTGTTGAAAGCGGCGTTCTTGATGTACTGTGCACCAGCTTCGAAGTTGAATTCGTTCGCAAAACCTTGCTCGGTGCAGAGGCGCTCTGCGGCGTCTTGGTGGCCGGCGACGCTGGCGGCGATGAGGGCGTCTTTGTAGCCTACTAGTTTGTCGCAGCGGAAAAGAACGTTTTCGTCGCGGTCAAACCGGCAGTGCTCGTGAGCCATGCCGAGGACGTGGCCGATCTGGCTCTCGTGTCAGCGGACTTGGAGACGAGGGGTGTTCGACCGGCAACGTAGAGACTTACTTCGTGGGCTACCCGATGTGGCTCGGTGCTTTTTGAGCCCATGACCATGTAATGACGGCCAGCGGTATCTTTGCGATGATCATACCCAATGCTAGCGTATGGCGCTTCTTCTTCTGCCCCAAGGTGTATTGCAAGAGCGTCCGCGCTCACCTTTGGGTTCCACGTCCAAGGCTCTTTCTTGTTCTTGTAGTCATCGAGGTAGCAGGTCGGATACATTCTCTCATTTCTATCCTCGTTGCCGTCATGAATTTCCATCCATCCGAGGCAATGGCCGTTCGCAGCACTGGCTGGTGTCTTGATGGCGTCGGCCCATATCTTGAACCCCTTCTGGAGTGGACAACCAAGTTCCGCTTTGGCCTTGGCGGTCGCAAAGCAATATCGAAGGAGACGAATCCGGCCCTTCTTAGGGATGCTGATGGGAGGCCAAGGTTGCGCGATACCAAATTTGAAGCGATTCATGTTACCCTCCTGGGGGCCGATAGAGCCAGGGTCGAGTGCGTCAGTTTCGGATCCGGTTCGACAGTACCGATTCGTGGAGGCCAGTACCAATGCAAGAACCCTAACAACAGGAGAAATAACAAGGCCAAACGCATCGCGTTGATTCCTGGTAGGCGGGCAGATGAGATTGTTTCTAGATGTAGCGGTAATGGTCGTAATGTTCAGGTTGATTCATCTCCATATTCAAGTCGACTAGGGATATGATTCAGCGTAGACGCTAGGGTCACGACTCCACAAGAAGTGAATCTGCAGCTGCGTAGAGAATCACTTCAGGTCAAGATGTCAGGTAGAAGGTTGATCGCGTGCGTACACAATAGGGTCCGTGCGAACGGCTGCACTACCACATCGCATGACAAGATCGGGGAGTAAGACCTCAAATGGTAGAGTGCGTGAAATGTTCTAGAACAAGTAGTCGGGCATCTCAAGCTATGTTGATAAAGGAAACACCGGGTGCAACGATGAAGGCTTTGAACCAATCCTGTGAACATTTTGAATGAATGATTCCATGTATGCTCTACGCTTGCCATGTGATACCGCGTCATCTACGAAGACATGCCATGTAACGCCAGTCTAAATGCAGTATATGCTTGTGAAAATGAACTGAAAGTGAAGGGAAAGATCGCTGAATGATAATGAGGGTATGACGCTATGCAAGAAACAAAGAAGGGAAATGTAATGCCGCTAGGACTTAGATCTCACGTCCTTTCTTTTCCTGATGCTCCAATTCTTTGACGTACTTGACGAAAGTCTTCTTGTGAACCTACTTGCAGTTAGTATTGCTCAATCTCAACTTCTGACGTGATACGTACCAGACCAGCGTACTTGCCATCCCTGAGCACGCATATATATCGTAGTCCGAGCTTTACAAAGCATTCGTATACCAAGTCCATCGGTGAGTGAACATCCAATGCAACAGGTGCTGGGTCAATATATGGAGTGAAATCACTTGGATCATAGGCTTCTTGCTCTTCTTCGTCTTGGGGCTCACGCCCTGCAGCCCAATCAACTCGCGGTGACATGAGGCAAAGCGTGTTCTCTTCGTTCTCCAGCTTATCGAGCGCAAACTCTAGATCTGGTGCAGGAATGAGGCCAACAAGAACGCCGTTTTTGATGATGGACAGGCCGCCGTCCAGTTCACCTATCATTTGTAGTCCACGTTGCTTTGCACGCAGCTCGACTGCAGGAATGAGCGCGTCTTCTGAGATGTCGATGATATGATCCTGTCTCTTCCCAGTAGTGATGTCGCCAAGCTCGGATGTGAAGATGGGCCGAACTTTGTTATCGAGGAATGGATACGAGTTCATGTCTGTGAGCAGGTCGTAGATACTGAGCGGTTCAATGGCATCCGCCACCCATTTGGCGACCAGAATGCCGAGAGAGAAAGGGAGTACGTGATCCAGACTACCCGTGAGCTCGAACAAGATGACGGCCAGTGTGATACTGAGACGAGTGACGCCGGTCATCGTTGCTCCAGCAGCCACTAACGCGTACACTCCAGGAACGACGCATGAACCTGGCGGACCATCAGGCGAACACTCTCCGAAGACGCCCAGATGATTGAAGCGTAGAGCAGCAAGTTGAACAGTGTGGCCGATAAAGCGCCCGGCGAGACCACCTACGACCATGGAAGGTACATAGATACCGGCTGGGACCTTGATACCAAAGGTGACGACAGTCAGAAGAGCTTTGATGACAAATGCGAAGAACAAGGTTTTGAGTACGCTCGGAATATGCTCGAGAGTCGGACAGAGACCGTCGCCGGTGTCAGTGTACGTGTCGCACGGACTTGCCAGTTCGAACAAGAGTTCGGTGACGGGAAGTTTGGTGTATCGGTTCCAGAAACTGATCAAACCAGTCACAAGCGCAACCAGGAAGACCTCAAGGAGCGGATGCTTCTTGATAACGGGTATGCGACGGAATGTTCGTGCCCAGATGCGAGATGCTTTGATGAACAATGCGCCGAGAACACCGCCCACAGCGCCGGTGAAGACAAAGGTCGCAAGTTCAAAAAACTTCCAGTCTAGATGATAACGAACCTCGAAAAGCACGATCTTCTTGGTGCCGTATGGATCCAGGAATTTAAGAGATAACGCAGCCGCCTATAAGGGATTAGCAAGGTCGAGAGGAGAGACTAGCGACTTACGATGCAGCAAAAAAAGGTTCTGAAGAGCGTCTTGGACGGAAAGTAGTAGCTCACTTCCTCCAGACTGAAGAGCACTCCGCCAATCGGAGCGCCGAAAGCTACGGCAACACCACTAGCGGCACTAGCGCTGAGAATCTCCCTGCGTTTGCCGTCGTTGTTGCTATACTTTGAGAATATACGACAAGCAATGTTTCCTATGCAAGTCGCAATGTGCACGTATGGGCCCTCCTTACCGAGACTGAGGCCCGATGCAACACTGAGGATCAGAGCCAGCGTCTTGACGAGCAGTGTGCGTACACCCAGATAACCGTGGAGAACGAAACCACTGAGGATGACCTTGACTTCGGCTACACCACTGCCAGCAGCGGAGTAGTAGACCATGGGTGGCCGTGCCTGGACTTCCTGGAACCTTGACTCTGGGCTGATGCTGCGCTTGCGGTCTTCTTCCTCTGCCTGATCAGAGTATCTCCGGACTTCTGCTCCGAGGTTTTCGTCGAGTGTGGACAGTGAGATGGCTGAAGGGATGACTGTTTTTGTGGTGAGCGTGAGCAGACACGAGGCCATGGAGAGCAAGATGACGGAGAGGACGAAAAAGCCATATTGGGTCTGGACGACGTCCAGCCTGTCATTGCGGACCGCCTCGGACCACTTGAGCCAGTTGTCGCATATCGAGGCACCTTGGCAGCACGCCTTGCGGCTCTTGTTCCAGCCGGTAGTGCAATAGCCCTGCTTCAGATCGAACAGCGTGGTCTCGGTGGTGTTGACGAAGTAGGCGCACACGGCAGTGAGCACGCCGATTAGGGCTACCAGAATCCAGCCCTGCGCACCGTCGAACCAAGCGGCGAGGCGGCCTCTGATGTCCTTTCGGCTCCGCAGGGCCTTGACGCGGTAGGCGTCGGCGATGTTGTCGTGGACCCAGTCGGTCGACGTGAACTGATCGTACCACACGCGGTTGTCCTGGAAGAAGGAGGCCTTTGCGGAGTGCATGCTCTGCTCGAGGCCCGCCCCCCGCTCGCCCAGGGCATTGACGAGGCGCTGGCTGAAGGTGTGGCCGCCGGTGAGGGAGCCCCGGCGGCTCCGCATGCGCGAGCTGGTGGGCAGCTGGCTGTTGTTGCGCGTCATGCCCGGGCGAGGGGTGCCCGGGGAGGTGGCGGGCAGGCTCTTGTAGGACCTGGCACCCCGCAGATGGGGCACTCCTAGCAGGGCGGTCCGCTCGTTGACGCTGCCCGTCGACCTCGTGAGGTCCGTGTCCGAGGCACGCATCGGGCGCTGGGCGCTGAAGGTGAGCGTGGGCGACGTGGGCGTGGTGCTGCTGAAGGTGTCGTCGCGCTCGCGCTGTTCGGCGGCGTAGTCATCGTCGGCGTCGTAGTCGTCGACGCTGTGGTACGACTGCATCGACTTGGGCATGGCGAGGGCGGTGGGTAGGGAGGCAGCAGCTACAATCGGGGCAGGGGCGGTCTATTAGTGTCGAGGGCAGCCAGAGACATGTCGCCGAGCAGAGGCCGCTATCATGGTCATCCGGAAAACGATGGCGGTGTCACGATGGATATGTTATGGCTGGGCACCATGGCTGCTCCCCACTATGCCGCGGATCCCTCCAGGATGCGTTGTTGTCCTGTGTCCGGGGCGAGATAGGCTCCGCCGCGGGTCCGCCAGCTGTTTCAGACAGGCTTGCGTGTGCAGGGCGGCCAGGCGAACAAAGCAGCAAAAGCAGCAGCTCGAGCAACTCCAGCAATCAGCGGTGCGCAGCCCTCGGAGGCTGACCTCAGGTGTCTCACCACCGCAAAGGGCGGTAGGCGCGTCCCATGTGATTATTGGGGTGCACCCGTGGACGCGATGGTGACGGAACGCAGGGCAAACGGAAGGTGCTAACCCTACACGGAGAAGGCGCGATGCCGTAGCCGCCAATCGCAGCCCCCACCCCCACCACTACACACTGACGTGCGTCTCGCGGTCGGGAGAATTGGGGGGTAGAGGCTGCCAATCTGTCGTTTCTTATCCGCCCGCGCATCCATCTGCTGCTGAGCCGCTGATCTGAAGATACAGACGACGCAACTCGGGAAAGCCGGTTTCGGAACACCGGGATTTCGCCGAGCGAGATATCCAAGGTACTAGCAGACATTCCGGAAGGTCTGACGACGATCGTGCCTACATCTCTCTAAAAGCATTCAAGATGGTGAGTCCTGCTGGACATTGAGTGCCATTGGGACTGCGTGCTGATGACTGTAGCCTGCTCTCTATGAACAGTTCTTCCTCTTCGGAGACAGCATAACCCAGGACTCCTTCTCCCAGGAGCGAGGCTTTGCCTTCTCTGCAGCCCTTCAAGCTGGTCAGTCCAAATATCATCATGTCTCCCGATTACTACCCCATGCAAAACATCTCTTCGTGAAGCTTCCATGGCGGCCATTGGCTCGGGCCACTGTAAAAGGCACTAATGATTCCAACAGCATACATCAGGCGACTGGATGTAGTCAACCGCGGCTTCAGGTTATGACGTCCTACCCTCACGACCGCACCGACAACTAACACCATGACAGTGGGTACAACACCCGCCAAGCTCTCCAGATACTGCCCGCCATCGTGCCCCCGCCGGATCAGGCTAAGATTCGGTTCATGGTAAGACGTGTCCATGCTAGATGCAGCCCTGACTGACCATACAGACCATCTTCTTCGGCGCCAACGACTCATCGTTACCAGATGCGCCAAACAAGCAGCATATTCCTCTTGATGAGTTCACCAAGAACCTAATGGACATTATGTCCCATCCGCAGATCAAAGCTCACGACCCTCGTATCATCCTGGTGGCTCCTCCCCCAATCAACGAGCATCTGTGGTGGCCAAGAGACCAGTCGAACGGATATGCTAGCGTGACGCGCCTGGCGGGTGCGACCAAAACATATGCCGATGCAGTCGTTCAACTTGGCGCCGAGCTTGGCCTGCCTGTCGTAAATCTCTGGAAAGCCTTCATGGCGAGGACGGACTTCAAAGCAGATATTTGGAAGCTGGGCGATGATCTACCGGGCTCTTTAGATGTCTCGCAGAATGACGCCCTCGTGGAGCTTATGTACGATGGTAAGGGTTTCGCAAAACCTTCCTGTTTCCTCGCCATGCTAACTGCACGTTTCAGGGCTTCACTTGAACCCAGCAGGATACGAGATTTTCTACCAGGAGTTGATCAAGGTCATCGCAGAGCAGTGGCCGGATCAAGTAAGTTCTGACTGTATGAAATGCATATGAGGTAGATACTGACTTCGTGCCTCCACTTTTGCAGTCGCCTGAGAAGCTGCCTATGGTACTGCCGCCGTGGAACGATCAGGAAGCGTGGAAATAGTGGGAGAGTGCTCAGTCTTCTTCGATTTAGCGCAAAAGTGGTAGACATGATGGATGTGGGCAAGCTTGATTTCAGCTGCGCGATCAAGCGGGGCTCTGGGGAAGTCGTGTCCAATCGGGCGAGGGTGCATAACTCCGGCAGCTTGTGGTTAGCAGCGTCACTCGACGAACCTCAGCTCAGCATCGCGTCAACAGGACGCAAGAATACACCAGCAGTCAGATTTTCCTGTTCCTATTTCCTTTCCTGTTCAAACCTTTCTGGGACACTGTACATTATCTCGCTCCCTCTAGCGCCGTCTCGGGAACCGCCTGATCTTCGGCAAAGACCGCTGTTGCGACCATCGTACCTTCTGCTCCAGTAGTCCAACTAATCACACCACCCAACACCCAACGCCTGCTGTCTGAGATAGTAGCACGGCCGATATCTCTTCACAGATCTTGCCTTTACCTCCAAATTGCCCACCGAACACCTCGATAGTCGGCTTCAAACGCATTCCTCACAACCGACGACCCAGACCCGCGCACACCGCAAACGTCTACTCTACTAAACAAGAGAGACTGCCACAAAAGAACTGGGCTACTGGGCAGCGGTCACTCGGTGGTGAAGGTAGGGGAGTCCCCACGGGAAGGCTGGTGTCTCTTTGTTGAGCACGTCACCAAGGGATGAGAGAGTCACGGGCATGGATCCTCAGAGCGTAGCCTTCCAGCCGCGCGACGATTTCTGGCGTTTTCAGAGCGAAATGCTACGTGTGCAGGAGCACCAAGCCGAACTCGCCGATCGCGTCGCCCGCCTGGAGCGCAAGCAGGAAGACGACTCGCGTCTGAAGAACGTCTGGGGGACTTCATCGCCCTTTCCTTCGGTGCTGGGGGGAACACCCCAACAGGGTAAGACGCTTCACCTGAATTTGTGCATCTTTAGCTGAAAACTGTTAGTTCCCCTGCAGCAGCCAACCGCCGAACACTTCACGAACTTCGACGACCAGTCCAGCAATCTCATCGGCAATCTCCAACTTGACGCCGACGAGGAACCCCGCCGTGTAGGGGCCACATCTCGCGCGAACAGCGTCCGCTTCGATGAGACTGCCAATCACGGTCACTGGGCGCATGCATCGAGATCGTCGCTGGATTTGATACCCCGCACTGGTAGCAGCATGGGCGGGCATGTCATGAGCGAGCGCAGCTACTCCCACAAGTCAGACGGAAGGCAAAGTTCTGCCGGCCAGTCGGTGCATTCTATGGCTTCGGGTCGCGCCAACAGCCTCACTAGCTTTGGTCCGACAACGCCTCAAGACGTCCCAGGGCTGGCTCCTGGCTTGTTCATTCTCGGCTCCGTTCCTGCCATAATACGTTGCTGGCTCAACACCAACTTCAAACACGACACCTTGCTGTATGCAGCAGTCTGTTCAGGTTCATACACATCCTCTCTGGACTGGTACACAATTGAACACCTGGGCTTTCAGGATCGGGTCATTCTGGACGAGGACCGGGTTCGCAAGATCAAGCTGTCTGTCTACCTTCCAGAGGCTGTGCCTGTTTCAGCATCTTCACGATCCGACAGCCCGGCGCCGCAGCTTCCTTCGATAGGCGTAAATTTCACCGTCATCGAGGAGCACGACGCTGAGGTGAATCCAAAAGCCATTCAGATTTTCCTTGGTAGCGACATGCTTCGAGCACATAATGCCGACCTCCTTCTTTCATGCAACCAACTGACTCTGTATGATGATGACCGTAACAAGCTTCAGGTACCACTCGTCCGTCCTGAAGATGATCGCGCGTTCAAGTGCTTGCACGCTAGCGGTGCCTCTACGACGGATCCGAACCGCGCTACTTCGACTCTGGCTTCAGCGCACGCGCATCACACAACTCAGATGTCTAGCACTTCACCGACCCGTGAGACGTATTCGTCCATGGAGAAATCGAATGGCACAGGCCCAGTGACCAACTCTGAGGATGGCGGGTCAAGTGGCCGGAGGAGTCTCGAACAGCGTCCACAACCAGGCCTCTCAGCGTCAAGTCGCTCTGACAAGGATGCTCAGGAGCCGGGCTCTGTAAGTGGAGCTCCACAATCAGGAGCACCGCAAGCCATCTGGAGCAACTGGCGCCGTGACCAAGCGGAGAAGACAAACACGGGCTCTCTGGATTGGGCCAACGTGGGTAAAACCGCCAGCTCAGATCCCAGCTACCAGCGACGTGATACAGGCATCAAAGTATTGAAACCTTCTAAATCCACGCGTACTCTGTCGACGTCAAACTCATCGCCTGTGACCGGGCAGTCACGCTTCTTTGATGATGGAAAGCGCAGAGGCGAGAGCGAAGCAAGCAACCCTGCGGCGGCTCCTCCGGTGAAGAGGGGTGTGTCTGGGGACAAAGCAAGGGAAAATATGCCTGGCCTGTCGAAGCCTCGATCTGCGAATCCAGTAGGCGGTGCCTCTGCTTTCGCATGGCTGAACAGTGGCGGGTCAAAATGAAACGCGATGCTGCGCTTGTATCATACGTAACACCAAACGCCGAACAGAATACAGACTGTCGACATGGCGTCATGAATTCTACACATGCATGTGCTGTGGTTTCCCATGGTGTTGTGTGGGCGATTGTGACATGTACCAAACACAAACAGATGGTGTTCTGGCAGCTTCGGACACGCGACAGGGGGGAGCATTCACCGCGTCGCCAAGCTCGCTTACCAAGGTAGTGTCCGCAAGGCTGAGCGGTCGGACAGCGATAGTGACGACGGCCCATGTCACGGCGCTGCTCTGATTTTTGCGGACATTGCGCTGTTACCCCTCGTTTGTTCACCGCCGTGCTACTGTGTTTGTGAAGAAGACGCGCCATTGCCCAGGTACTGCGGCCCGCTGCATAGTCCTTGTCCGCCTTTTGCTTGCCCTTTCACCCTCGCTCGTCCGCCCTCTACCGTCTGCCCTGAAGCTCTTCGCGGGCTTCACGGTAGGCAATCAGCTTCAAAACGGCCTCCACTAATAACAAGAAGCGGAAGATCGTGGTCCCCGCACGAGACTCGTCCAACGGCGACGGCACGCATTCACCGAATGTGGGCAGCGTCGGTGTAGGGTCCCCTCGCT